AATAAGCTTTATTCTTTTTTAGCTTATTTTTTTCTTCTTTAAATAAAATTATATTTAATTATATTATTATATCTTTATCTTTATTTTTAGTTTATCTTTAGTAAATATTTATCTTATTTCTTCTAAATTTTTTCTTTTCTATTTATCAGGTGTAGATAATTAAATTAATCTAAGATACTACTTCTATTATTACTTAAAAATTTTAGATTATAATATTATTATTAAGATTTAGTCTTTAATATTATCTTTCAATCTTTTATAAAACTAGTTTTTAAATTCTTAATTATTCTATAAAAGTCCTCTTAATATCTATAAAAATTTTAAAATATATTCTTTAATTAAGATCTATTATTTAATATATCAAATCTTATTAATAGCTTTGATCTCCTCATTAATAATTTCTTATAATTAATTAAATTTCTTTTTATAATATTAATAACTAGAAAATATTATAATTATCTTAAGATTTCTTTGTTTTTTATTACTATATATATAATATTAATTAGTAATATATAAAGCAAACTATTTTATAGCTTCTTTATTAAAAAAGCTTAATACTATTAATATTTTATTAAATTTATTTACTATTATATATAAAATAGAATTATATCTAAGCAAGATACATTTTAAAGATTCTATATTCTTCTTTAAACAAAGTTATTATTCTAATCTTAATTTCTTAAAATATATAACTTATTCTTTTTTTATTATTAATTACTACTTATTTTAATTTTTTAATATATTATAATAGTGCTACTATATCTCTATTATTAATAATTATAATATTCTTATTACTAATATTAATAGTTTATAAGTTAAAACTTAGAATTACTAAAACTAGAATTTAAGATATTATTATTACTTATCCTTAAAACTTCTCTTTTAACTAAAAGTCTTAAATTATTAGAAATTTTAATTAGATTATTATTAAGTATAATTAGAATAGCTATTAATAGATAAAATTAATAAACTTCTAAGATTAAAAAATCTCAGTAGACAAAAGAAATAAAAATAAGGCTATAAATATCTTAATTAATAGAAGATTATATACTTAAATTATTATAGTTAATTTAAAATAATAAAAGAAAACTAAATATATAATAAATAAGTATCCTTATATAGTCTTCTTCTATTATAGCTAATATAGTAATAGCTCTATTCACCTTATTTTAGTTAATATAGTTAATATAGCGATAGCTCTACTGGCTCTATTGCCTTAACCTTAAGGCTTCGCGGGTAATCCTTTGTTCCGATGTGCATTAGTCTCATAGTGACTAACCTGATCCATTGGCTGTGACGTTCTGATTCTCTGACATTAGTATTCCTAGTTTATTTATAATCTATAGATTTATATAATTTCTAATTGCTTCTAAATTAATTATTACTTAAATATATTGTCCTAGTATATTAACTTTAATCTTTAGATACTTTTTATATGCTATTACTTTTAATATTTTTTTTTCTTCTAGAGTAATAATAAGTAGTTATAGTTAATTAGTTTCTTATTCTAATTCTTTATCTTTTAATGTTATTTATTTTTTTTAAAAATCTATAGAGGTTATTATAAAAGTCTAAATCTTTTTTTTAAAATATAATATATTTATAAGATTCTATTTTATTATTTTATTTATTAATTTTTTTTTTAATTTCTCTTTACTTTTTTTAGTACTTCTTATTTGATATATCTTATTTTTTAAGGATTCTTTTTTCTTTAATTAATTCCTGTTAAGTCTAGCTTAAGCTTAATATAGACTTTTAATTTTTCTAACTTCTAGTTTTTATTAATTATTAGAGATTAAAGTATATTTTTTTTATCTTATTCTTTAATTTTTCTATAATTAATAGTTCTTTTTATTTATTTTTTTTTTATTTAGTAGCAGTTTTTTAGAGATTTGATTTTTTCTTTTTCCTTAGGAAATTATACAGTATTAACCTTGATATTTTAGTATATTAGATAATTATTATTATAGTAAGTTATTTATGATAATCCTTAATATCTAGGATAATCTATTTTACTATATTAATATTAACAATTATTTATGCATTCTAAGATCTTATTTTTCTATTTATCTTTAATATTAATTTCTTTATATAATTCTAATATCTTATTTTTTTAAGTATCTTAAATTCCATCCTCATTTTCTTAGATATCTTGGTCTCTTTCCAGATTATATATATATTTAAGATATATTGTTTTTTTATGTAGCTATCTAGCTTTTTTAGTTCCTAAAAAGCTGCTATAGATATTATTGTATTCATAGATATTATATCTTTTATTAGTTATAACTTTATTATTATATCCCTTATTATGCTTTATAACTTTAAATTATTTTTTCTTAATTATTTTAAGTTATTATTCTTTAATTATCTTAAATTATTATTTTAATTAATTTCTATATTTTTATTTATAGTATTCTTTCTTTTGATAGTTAAAGCATTTTATCTTACTTTTATTAAATTATCTTTTTAATTTCTCATTAATTGTTGCATTAAGTTTTATTAGTTATAGACTATAAAAATCTTAATACTTAAATTCTTTATTTATTTAATTTTAATATTTAGAGATAGATTTTATCTTATATCTTTATTATTTTTATATTTCTTTTCTTTTTTATTTTATCTTATGGAATTTGTTATCAATTTTAATAGTTTATTTAATAAACTTATTAATATTGTCTAATTAATTTATTCTAATAAATTTTATTTATATTTCTTTTTTTAACATATTTTTAAATACTATAATAAGAATTTTATTATTATAATCTAATATTATTATAATCTATTTAAATTATACTGCTAATTATTATGCTAATCTAGTCTAGTATAATTATTATAATTGTCTTTTAGCATTTCATGTTTTATTTATATTTTTGAATACTAGTTTGAACTTTTTCTTGAATTATTTATAAAAGCCTAATACTTTTATAATATTAATATTCTAATTCTTCTTTTCCTTATTATAATATTTGCAAAGTATAGGTTTAATCTATTAAAAAGCTTCTCTTATTAAGTAAGTTACTATAAAGACTATCTTAGATTTTTCTGTTCCTAATACTATACTATTAATTATAATATATATATTTATTTATGTAAGAAAATTCTTTAGTTTTATTTATTTCCTATTAAAAATTTATGGTTTTAGTATCTTAAATTATTTTACTACTATAATTGCTTCTAATTCTTTAATACATTTTTAAAGTATTTCTTTATTAATAGAAGTTACTGTTAATCTAATATTTAAAGTAATTATATTCCTTATTATCTTAAATTAGTCTATAAGTATTCTTTTTCTTTATCTAAACTTCCTTATCTCTTATAATAGTATTTATCCTATATTATTTCTTAAGATTAAGATAATAGCTCTTTTATTATATATCTAATTCCATCCTAGTTATTACTAGTTATATTAAGATATAATATAATAATTAAATTATATAAAGATTTATAAAAGTAATTTATTAATAAGATTAAATATAATTCTGATTAGTTAATAATAAAAATTAATTAATTATAACTTAAGATAAAAGAAGCACTTTAAAGTATTATAATACTTTAAGTAGATTTACCTTACTAACCTTCTTAGTATATAATCAAATAACTTAGATTAAAGAGCTATACTAAGTAGTAATTAAGTATAAAAATAAGTATATTTATATAATTAGTATCTTTTATATTTTTTCTACATCTTAGAATATATATCTAATTATATATTTAATAATTCTGCTTAGTATTATATATACTTCCCTTATACCTTATAATATATATCATAATATATACTAATCACATGTTTCTTATGTCAGTTATAAGCCTGTATATTTAATAACCGCCTTGCATGTTAATGCATGTGAATAACTGGCCGTAATGTTAGCTGCTTTAACTAAGCACCTTCCCTTGATAGTACTAGTTTCTGCCTAGTATCATGCAGGTTGGTTTCGTAACAATAAATAGCTAAGTAACTAAATAAGAACTGAGCTTTATATAGTTATAAAAGAAATACTAGATAATATAAAATAATATATATAGCAAATTCTAAAGTAGGAGTATAATACTAATAATTATATTCTATATTCTCTAACTGGAAGTATTATAGTATTTATACGATTTAATAATATATAAATTTAAAATAAATTTATTAGTAAATTATATATAATTTAATTCTTTAAAGAAATAATGGGTTACCTAAAAAGATATTTGATTATACTATTATCATAAATATTAAGAAAGAATTTAAATTAAATATAAAAGTTAATAAATTTATATCTTTTCTACCTATATTATTTAAGCAAAAAGTATAATAATATTAGTATAATTTAAAATAGGACTTCTCAACAAGTTAATTTATTTATTTTTAGTATAAATTAAAGCCAGTTTAGATAAGAAATCAATGAGTAAAATTAAGTGGATTTAAAGGCTTATAGTAATACATTAAGATGATCTTAGTTAGTACACTTTTAGTGTTGTAAGGCCTTGTAAGATGGCTCTCGCTAAGAAAAAATCCACTAGGCTTAATATATACTAGTGTAAGACAACAAGGCTTTAAAAAAGGTAAAACTGGCAGTATTAAGTTGTGTAGGTTTAGTTGTGAAACCGGCTGCGCAAGGTCTCTATTATATACGTTGATTAGGGCTTAAACGTCCAGATGATCAAGTCACTTACTAGTAAATATTGTGAAGTAGTCTAAAGAGTCTATTCGACATTATTCTCATTGCTGCGGAACTTGCAGCCGATGGCGCAGGGTGGCGTAGCGATAACTTGCCACTGCATCGTCCAAATACTAAAAGTGGCCTAACAAGGCTCAACTTTGAGTCAGCGCAAAGTAAAACACCACGCGCTAATTCTCTAGCACCGGCCAAATGTAGCCCAAGTTGGCCTCGGCCGTGTAGCCGCAATAGGCAAATGAGGCTGAGAAGGATCTGAAGACAAGAATATTAAGGCCAGTGACGCAGATCAATCTACGAAATGCTCTCTCCCAGAAATATTATTATCTTGACGGAGATCAAATGTCTTCCGCAGGTGCAGAAACGCCTGTCGCCGGAAATGGCGTTAGCAGGACCGACAGCCACAACCACGACCTAAACTCGCGGGACGAGGCTGTTCTTCCCCTGCTGCCGTTACAGGTGTGAGTCAGTCACATTTCGTGTCTTTGCTTATTGTTTCGAATACAGCGAAAGCTAAGAAAATTGACCTAATCAATGTAATGCAGCTTGGCTGAGGTACAACGCCGACGCAACGAAACACAGCCTGGCGAATCCGGTCTTCTTCAGACGATCTATGGCGTAAAGCAGGCTGTCCAACTTACCGCTGATGATGAGGACAAGTTACGCCTAAGCGCGCGCCCTCTCTGTCGAGAATGGCTCAAATTGATGCCGAGTCTCGGCTTCAGGATGCTTCAAATTGCCATCCTCGCGGTGTATGTCTATACGCCCACCCCTTCTAATCTCCATTTGTAACGAGCATTGGTATTGGTTCTAATTGAAACCAGCATATTGGCATTTGGAGGCAAGCAGCAGGCCTTCAACCTGAGCGATGACCAAGTCGGGCAAAACATCGATGTATCCGTCGACATCCAGCTAGCTGTGTTTGGCGTCGTCAACAAACTACTCGACTACCTCATTGATACGGCACTTGACCATGCAGTCTCTGTAACATTGACACTGTGGATGGCTTGTAAGTTAAGCGTTTGTGTTAGTCAGTATACACGCACAATTAACTTACCAACGGCCACAGGCTCAATAAGCGATCGATTTGCTGGTATCAAAATCGACGATTTCTCCATGAAAGAGGAACTATCCAAGCCGTGGATTGCCATATGGGCCTGCTTACAACGTTGTCGGAAAGGCGATTCCTGCCTATTCTCTATCGCACGAGGGCTTCTGTGTCTAGCTGTCTCCTTGTCGGTCGTGCTGCAGGGAGCTAGTGTCAATACTATCGGGATGCCAAAGGCCCGATGGGCGCCTACCTATACTAGCGGTGTTCCTGGTGCAGGAAACACCTTGGAATTGCCCCTTATGCGGATTGTAAGTGCCAATGTCGATGGATTTTGGTCCCAAGCTGAGGCGATGACCGGCGAGCCAACAGCGGACGCAATTGGACAGATCGTAGCAGGTCTCGAGGCATCTGCCACCTTCATCGGTCTGTCGGGTTTGTGAGTGGTTTCGTCGGTCTTTTGATCTGGATGGAGTAACACTGATCAAACTAATTTTGTTAGACGAAATGCCATGAACAACGACCGAACTCAACCGGGCTGGTACGAGGCATATAAGTCCTCGGGGAGCTATATCACAGGGATCCATGTTCCTACAAATACCTCCCAGAGTTCTATTCAGACTGTCTCCTTGCAGTTTGGTGGCATCAACGCTATCTGGCAGTCGCAGTCTTTGTATGGGAATGCATGGGCTCGTGGCTCTACCGGCTATACAGGCAATCTGAATTTGACTCTGCCATTCCTCGAGACCGTATGCGCCCCCAGCACGAACCTCACGACTACCGCGAATAACACGATGCTTGCCCAACATCCAGTCGATATGAACTCGACTAAGGCCATGATCCAGGTTCTTGTCGGCGCATCAGGAAGTTTTACAGGTGCCAACTGTAGCGTAACGTTACGTCAGGGGCTTTTCCGTATGTTTTTTCGTCTTCCTTGATCATGAATATGTCGTTGAGACTTGTTCAATAATTAGACATCTAAATATTTGCTGAGTTGACCCCGGGAAAAAGCCACCGCAGTTTGGATCGTCGATGGAAATAGCCCAGATGCCTCGCTTACCAATTACAACAATTCATGGTGGCTTACTAATGATCCTCTCAACCCTCCCATCTACATGTTCCCCTCAACTCTTGACGACACGGCTTTTGTGGCCGATCTGGCCGATATCTTCAACGGAATCTCCCCCAATCTATTTGGACTCATCCAGCGCGGACCGAGTTTGACAGACCACTTGGTTGCGCTCTCGCGGCAATTTGTCAGCCTCAACCGGACAGCGTGGAACTCGGAAGCTGCAGGTATGACGCCCATTATTGGGACCATGCTAAGCCAGATCCTGAGTACGGCGACCTGGGAAGAAGAAGGCGATCCTGATAACGCCACGGTAATAAACCGGCCGGTGATATGGCAGACTTATGGATCTAGTCCGCGATTAGGGTGGGAGTGGACTATCGCTCTGGCGCTGGCAGTCATTCTGATTGTGACGGTGTGGGATATTTTTCTCATTTTTTACTACCATTTCTCTGGAGCACCGGTGACAGATCCTGGTGATCTGTGGTTACGGAAGCCCGAGGGTATTCAGGGGATGGGAACGAAGGAACTATTCGAAAAGGTATATTACTTGCGAGAGACAGATAGAGAGGTTTTTATTACGGTGGACCGAGACGCTGGCAAGGTTCTGAGAAGGGATTCCGAGTATACATGGCGGCATTGATTGGACAGAACTAGGATATAAATAATACAAGTTAAGTACTTCACTAGTAGCAGCTTTCCAATGTTTCTGTCGATTATTTGTCGATCTCACTTTCTCGAATTACGTGAGATATATAGCCATTAATATATTGGAGATATTCCGCAAGCGACGTTAAATTGCTCCCCGGGGGGGTTCTTTGGCTGACATCTCCGATACAATTAAATGCGTACATAGAGAACCACGAGATGAACCAAGTAGAAACTGCGTATAAAGACTTAGTGTCCATCGACAGAGTTTTCCTTTTTGGTGTTCTGACGCCGCTTTAACTAGGATACCGGATCAACAATCATGACCCTTATTTACAGAAACGGAAAGGTGGCTCGGCCCGTTGCCGATGACGTGTTGGCCGAGCCCGCTAGCTGTGGGACTTTTGCATTGACCGGCGGCACCAAGTGGACCTTGTATCTTGGCATTGTTGACGCATCTAAAAGCGGCAACTGGGCTCGTAGGCATGTTTTAAGTCGCTGTAATGCTGACATGTCGCTTTTGCTTCTCAAACATGTTTGTTCTTCATGTTGGTCTAACTCGTCTAATCTATTGAGTGATCTCTCGAATGCCCTTGTTCAACTTTATAGGCCTTGTCCAGAAAATCTCTAGCCAGCCCTATGTCACGCACGTGTTTCTTGATGCCTTTGGGTTCACACCGTCGGGTATGACAGCAGAGGCCTACCGTGAAGCAATGCGTTATCTACCGTCTGACTTTGCCTCTCAGTATCTCAATTTTCATATTGGCAATACTGGTGCTCCATGCGAAAAAGATCTCTATCATTTCGAAGAGCGCTCACCGTACTGTAGACCTGTTCAAAGACTGTAGTAACACTGACTATGTAAATTAGTCTTACACAACAGCAATGCAGAAAACCATGACGCATCGCTAAAATTCGCTGCTAGAGAAACCGCTCATGTGTGGATCGAGTTTGCATATGGAATCGAGCCCTGGGAGGCGCACACTTTCAACAAGAGGGTTCGAAGAGTTTGTCCGGCAGTAAAATGGGAGATAATAACTCCAAAGGCGGATAGAATCAGAGATTATGGTTATTTGAAACTTGTCGGGAAACATTTTGATAGGGTGAGAATCGTAGGACGAAGCACATTGAGCCAGCAGGTTCGGGGAGAGTTACTAGGCCTGCCACACTAGATTTAGATAGTAGACATTGTACAAGAAGCGAGGCTCAAGCTAGCAATACATAAAGACGATCCAAATTTTTGGGGAATTATTCTTCCGTTTATTCTGAACCGTATCTCCTCAAAATACAGTTCTGGTGAGTAGCTATACTGTTATTGATCAGCTGGGCGACCGCTTATTTTCTTGACACAGGAGCCAGGCGCATGTCAATCCTTTTAGCTAGGGTCTCTGGCCTAATATCCATCTCGAAGATGTCCATAGGTAAACCAATGGTAGTGCAGGCGTTCGGAATCTGTGATGAAGTCAGAAACTTTATTCTCGTCAATAATGATCTTAGGAAAACTCACGTCCACAATACCTGCAATATGGCCTTCAACCGGAGCGGCACTCAGAAGAAGATAAATCTGATAGTCATCATAGCCATATCGCTTTAAATACTCGATAACTCGAAGGCAGCTTTGGCGATAAGCTATTGTTGCGTCTAGAAAATGCTGTTTCCCGTTTTCATCGACGGAGAAGCCCTGAAATGTGGCGTATGTTAATATCTACCCAAGATTTTTAAAGATTTTGGATCCCTACCTCAAAATACAGCATTCGGCCGGGCCCGAATTGGGGCTGCACAGGGCCAGGGATAAAGATTGGAGATCGTCCATTGACCATGCCAAGTTGCTCTTGGCCGTTCTTGAGCACGGTAAACTTGATTGTGATCACGCCGGCCATTTCAATGGCACCGCAAAATGAAATTTCGCCATCTCCCTCTGGGCCTCGGTGAGTAATAGATCACTCTTCTTTTTAGTGGAAAGAAAACGTACGCGAGAAGTGGAGATCGCCAACACTGAACTTTGCCCCAGGAACATGAACTGGCAGGTATACCTTGCTGCCCCGTGACAAATTTTTAATATCACAATTGCCGCCGTGCTCTGGTCTTCCGGGAATTGTGCGTGCACCCTCTGCTGCAATTCTCTCAGCAGTAGCAGGATCAGCAGATCCAGGATGAGAATTGGTGATTAGTGGAGGGTTTGCCACGGTGCGTGAGGAACCAGATTTCTCTTGGATCAATTCGGCTTCACGGCGATTCCATTCAGCCAAAATCTCCGCCGATGGAGCGCAGCCTAAAATGCCCGGATGAATGAGTCCTGCGAATTTCACGCCAGGAATGTGTCTGGATGTGCAGTGTATTCCCTCAAAGTCCCAGATAGCTTTGGCCCTGGTATTATAAATCCACAGTATCAGAATACTACGCACGTCACTTGTACAAGGCTGTGAGTATAATCTTACGCATCGGGATAAATTTCATCCAGAAACCCACCGCCATTGTCCTTGTGGAAGACGCCTGTAAACCCCCAAGGCTGTTCTTCAAAAGGCTGAACATCCTGGATCTCGACGCGGAGCACGTCTCCCGGTTCTGCGCCTTTGATCTCAAAGGGTCCTGACAAATAATGAATCTTGGTGAGATCCACATTCAAGATATCGTCTGCCGAATCATTATTTTTAATCTGGCCGCCGGTCCAGTCAAGACATTCGATTTTGACTGTCTCGCCATCCTCAATTGAACCGCAAAAGGGGACTGAGAGAGTACGGTATAGTTAGAATCTTCGGTAGAGAACTTCAATACAGGATAGGCCTACCATCGGGATGCCATCGGTTCTAGATATGTTAGCTGGGAACTCATGATAATTTTTGGGGGGGTGTAAATCCTACGTGTAGGTATGGTTGCTTATCGGCGGGGGAGTTAAGATCAACTTTGAGAGCTGTGCGGATTGGGGTAGACATGATGTTTATGATATAATTTCAAGAGAACCCTTTCCTAGTAAAAAATCGGCCGGTGTCAAAATGGAAATTCGATTCAAGAAAAGCAAAGACAATTTGTTGGTTTATCTGAGGTAGCAGCACCGAAAATTCCGTGGCATACCTCCTCCATCACCCCGCATTGATTCGCAAGATAACACGATATGCCTCATCAGGAAGGTCTGCTACACTCACGTTTCACAGCAATTCCTAGCCGGATTGGGGGAATATTATGGAAATTCACGCGTATTTACCTGGATGCCGATGGAGTTTGTTTATTGCGAGCGAGCGAATGAAGACCCCGTAGCTTATCTAAAGCCCGAGAATACGCTCTGTCCTTCCGATCACGCCGCACTTATAGCCACCGTGGCTATTTCACCTGTGGGTACTAGAAATGATAGTAGATCTGCGACAGATATAAATTAGAGACCCGCTTCCCCCTCGCTGCCTTCACTCACTGAGTAGAACTGAGCACATAAACTTATAGGCATGTATGCTTAGTGATCCGAAGCTGAGTAGTCTACTGTGCTCACTAAGTATAAATATCTAGTCATGCCTTTATGGCGCTAGCCATTTTCCTAGACTAAGGTAAGAAGTGCTCGTTCAATATTCTATTTTCATAATATATATCCCAGATAATATACCTAGCACCTCATTTTCAGCAATCTTGGCCGTAAAAAGTGAATCAGCTAATGCACAGCGCTGCAAACATGGCGGCGGATAGTCATCTAGACCCTGGATCTTTCTTTTATACATATGCTAGCTAGATAGCTTCAAGAAACCAATCATACCCGCAAATTATAGACTTGAATGGTGGTGTTCTCCCGTTCAATGTGCAACTTGACGAACGAACATATTGCGGGGCCAAATTACCCCTCAATGCACCGGATAAGACAGCAAATATACGTAGCTGCCTGTCAGGAACTTCAGTGACTATCACACTTTGCTCACCCAGTAGTGATATCAGAGAGGCACCGTGCGAGCTCATGAGGCATCTATAAGAAGAAATGACATGCGGCGCAAATAGCAAGTACTCACAAACAAATAGCTTGGGAGTTTGTCCCCGATGCACTGCGTAAGGCGACTAAGAACATAAAATCACTGCATTTCTTTACCGATGCATCCCAGTCGATTAAGGATGCCCTGCTGCTCCTTGACGAGGGATACTCACCCAAGTCTGCCGGTAAGGAGGGCTGGAGTGTATACCCCACGTTTATTGTTGATGATGTTAGTGAGGCCATTAAAAAGGCTGAAGGTCTTGTTGGAAGTGTTAGGACGTATGTTTTCCTTTATTCACTTGAACAATCTGTACGTGAGTGGGCTTGTATACTAATTTGTGCTCTGTGCTACTAATAACAAAGTCTCCGAAATGAGATTCCTAATGGAATGGGGTATTTGGAGTACACGGTAGAGGAAGAATCCACTCCTCTTCATCGCATCCGTTGCTCGTTCTCTGATATTCTTTGACTCACGCAAGCAAAGTGACTAACTAACTACATAGCGGCAAGTCTTTCGGTTCAGCTTCTATTATTAATTGGATAAAGGAGCAACGCGCCCATCTTAGTGACATAATCGCCGCCGAAACTACAGGCTTTTGGATAAAGGTAGGTAACCTTTTCCGGCCTTTAAATAGCTATTACAATTGCGCGGATTTCTCTCGAAGAAGTGCAGAAACTTTTCCACGCATATCTCAAACTAGCATCGTTATGACTATGTCACGTCAACGGCAGACTTCGATGATGGCCGAAGTAAAGAAGGTGAGAAAGCGAACAGCTACACGCGTGGAGACAAAGTTTGGCGACAATCGCCTAGGTCTCCTCTCCTACCACGAGATTCCGGAGTGGTATCAGGACAATGAGTTTATTCTTCACGGTTATCGTTCTGTGTCAAACTCGACAACAGCCTGCTTCTCTAGCTGGCTTTATCTGCATAATGAAACCGTCAACATTTATTCCCACCTGGTACCGGGAATTGCTTTTCTAGTGGGCGAAGGCGTGATACATCAATGTCTCCAGGCTTACTATCCCAAAAGCACACTTAACGAACATGCTGTGTTCGGCTTCTTCCTTGCAGCGGCTGTGATATGCTTGGGATTATCAACCTCGTACCATACTATGATGAACCACTCTGCTTACGTCTCAGACTTATGGTTACGGCTGGATTTCGTGGGTATAATTGTTTTAACGCTGGGAGATTTTGTATCGGGTATTTCTATGGTCTTCTATTGCGAGCCAACACTGCGAAATGTATATTGGGCTATGGTATGACGCACAATCCTAGCTTGTGGATCACGAAGCTTATCGAGTATATTTGCAGATAATCACGCTCAGCTTGATCACAGTATATATTTTGGCCAATCCAAGATTTCAAGGTCCTCGCTGGCGAACATTTCGAGTTTGCATTTTCGTTGGCACCGGATTATCAGGCTTCGCACCTCTCATCCACGGCATCATTATCTTCGGTTTTTCGCTAATGATGAAGCAATCCGGCATGCCATACTACTTGGGTGAAGGGCTGCTACTAATACTGGGCGCACTTTTTTACACCGTGAGTTCTCCAATGTCGTGCCAAGAAAAGCATGAACTGATAAGCGGACACGCTTTATAGATGCGTGCTCCTGAGGCTTGGAAGCCTGGAAAATTTGACATATTTGGATGCTCTCATCAAATTTTCCACCTGCTTGTGGTGCTCGCTACAGCGCTTCATCTGGTTGGAATCATGTCTGCCTTCCACTACAACTACCACCATAGAACATGCATATAGATTTGGTGAAAGATGGAATCAAACTTACAAGTTATTGGAGAAGATTACAAACTTAGAAGACCTAGTAAGTAATTCTACTACAAGATCCCAGCAGTTAACTGTCCAGCACGATGATACTCGTACCTAACCAAATTTTTTTTCTTAGGATAGATCATACTCTCTAGCAAATGAGTGCAGAATATTCTGGTGTAAAGTAACTCTAAACTAGGCGACAATGGATCCTGTCTGAACGTAAATGGAGTGGGATTGACAACCAGAATGTATGGGAACAGCCGCTGAAACATCGCCATGAGCGTATTAGGATCCCAAATAGCATGGAGATAGAAAAGCTATGATAAATGTAAACTTATTACCAATTATAGAGGACAGAGTTGGAATTCCAATAGCCAGACAAGTGCGTGTCAAATGTTTCAAATATTCGACGCCGGTGCCTCGCTACTGAGCGCTTGGGCAACCTGGCGACGGCTAATCAATGTCTTTTTCCTTTCCCTTTGCAATACTGGCGCTAATGGCCAATAGAAGACAAGAAGAGGAAATCAAGGGTCTAAGCGAATTATATCAGTACTTTGAATGCCGAGTATATTCTCACCGATAGGCTACGATTTGTCAAAAATAGTTGGAAACTGCCAACGTTTTGGATAAACTCCACGGCGTGTTTCGGCCTTGGTTATCGGTGGCTTGGGGACAATTTTAGAGACCAAGGTTTGTAGCTATTCTTGTCCAACAAATTCTGAGGTTACTACTAGCTCAACAGACAAAAAGGCATGTACACGTTTCATGAATCGTGAAGCCCAAGTAAAATTTAGGTCTTCTGAGTCTAGATTATAGATTATATGCAGAAACGTAAAAAAGTGCCTTAGGTACAATACCCCACAATATTCTGATGCCTTTGCTAGGTACGTACCCGCCGGGGCACCGGCGGAGTGGTCATGGAATGGGGCCATGAGAAGTCCGGCCGTAATATGGACGGAATCAATGATCTAATCATTTCCAAGCTCCAAACGCATCCGAGGCTCTTGAGTGGTGCTCGCTAGCTGTGGGGGCGGTGGATTAGTTCTTTTTTTGTCGACCCTATAAAGTCATTGAGATGAGAACACACATAGCCAGTGGATGGTCATAGCTGGCGTGGTGAAAATTGTTCGTTCTTGTTTTTACGCCGCTACGGAGGTAGAAGTCGGGCATTTATACTAGTTCCCTTTTCGTTTGTGTATATACCATATCAAAACTGATCCTTACATATAATGTTATAGTAAATCCGTGAAACTTGTGCTATGGTTGGCAAAGGTGTGTCATATATCGGCATTGACTAGATTTTTAGAGACCTTTAGATACCCTGTCCATTTTCGTGGATCACTGGCTCCTTGGAGTCTATAAAGCCTTGACCACCTTGTTGCTGTGGCACTTGACCAGACCGACGGCGGTCGTTGCGCCCATAGAACGCTTTCGCGCGATCCTCCTCTGTATCTCGACGGATACTGTTCATATAAGTGCGGAATTCTCGACTCATATCCATTACCTGCTTGAAATGATTTGCCTCGACGAGAATCTCGTCGCCTTCGGTGCTATATTCACTTTCGCGAACATCATATTCAGCGAGAGCAATAGCAGTCTGCAGAGCATTGCGAATCTCACGTCCGTTCCATTCCATTGCGCACATCTCTTCACTTAGAATGAACTTGACGCCTTGAGGTGTAACGCGAATCTTGCCCCTTTGCTCTCTATGTAGCTTGTTCAAGAAGCTTTGCCAGATGTTCCTTCTCTTTGCTGGATCTAGCTTATCGAAGCCGATGATAACATGGACTCGAGAGATGAATGCTTCGTCGATGTGTCCCACTCGGTTGGTGGTTAGGAACAGTAGTCCGCCGAAATATTCCATCTTGCGCAGAAATGCTAGATAATGATCAGTAATATTCGTATGCATACTCCTTCACGGTTGTCACCAAACTCACCTGAAACAATTCCGTTGCGAGCGATATCTCTATGCTCACGACGTTCGAGGAATATATCTGCCTCGTCGAGGAGCAAGACGGCTCGCCATTTTTGAGCAAGGGAGAACCACCTTGTGAGTTCAGCTTCAATGGAGTCCTCTTTCATTCCGAGGTCCGCGATCGTAAGACTAATCAAGGGACGACCCGTCTTCATTGCAATGGTTTCTAGGATTGGTAAGCATTGCCTTTGCGTGGACAGCATCCACCAACTTACCGACTGTATACGTTTTGCCTACACCAGGAGGGCCTGTTTACATTGCGCGTTAAAGATACGTAACATAAAGTTGAGGTTAATTTGGAAAATCGTACCATGAAGCAACACCACTACACCTTCTCCTTTACTTTTGATAAAGTCTGCAGACCAGGGCACCTTGGAATTGATTTGGCGATCCGACAATGCCTTTATAATGCGAAGGCTTTCTGGGTTAATGTTCGCATCTGGAATGTCTCCCGTCTCGTCGAGCTCGAATATCGACTCTACGTTTATCAATTCTAGCAATGGTCAGCACATGCTTGCAACTATAACTAAATCCTACCGAAATCTTACCCCATGTCTTCGTCGATAATGCAAATCCCGGCATCATCGGGCTCATCATGAATCGATGATCGACGGTTAGGGTTTCTTTTGAAGAAGCCTCGATGTTAATATTGATTGGATGGGCTAGCTCGCCATGGCTGCTTGTGTTTTCGGTCATTTCATGGCCCGGATCCCAATCAAATGTCCACGTATCCCCGTAAATGTTTTCATCATTGACATCGCAAATACCCGCTATGAGTGGTCCTTTGTACTTTGACAACGTCAATTCACTGTGCGAGTTGCGTTTTGTGGCAAAGGTAGCCTTACCTCTTTCTTGCTCGTATTAAAGAGCTTGCCGTCATACTTCACATACTTATAGCTCGCCCATAGAATCTCAGCGGCCAAGGCCCCTCTACGTTCGAGGGAAGCTCTCCGCTCACCGTTGTCCTTTGTATCGTGGTAGTGTCGTGGGAACACAGGCAGAGCAGTCACAAGCTTCTCACCATCAAAACCCTCTATCTCAATAGTAAGGGGGGCAGGCCCGGTATGGGCTTTCTTCCTGAAGTCAGTGTCCTGGAATAGTACCTTCACATCCCAGCGCTCTTTCTTGTCCAAAACCTCTTCTTTATACTCCACACATGTGATGATGCCTCCCATCCAAATATTGTCACGAATGAAGTAGGAAATCGTTCCAGGCTTGAGCAAAAACCAGATATCGCTGAATAGAACCGTTGGGGGGTCTTTGCGGAGTCGCTTTTCCGCTGGGATTATCGTTCGCTGGACACGTGGACTCAAGAAATCGAGTAGGACCTGTATCTGGCGGCATTTCTCAGATGAGTCGTTGTCCGAATCACCTGTGATGCGACTCCCTAGCTGAGTTTTGAGATTCGTGAGCTCAGTCAGATGATGAATCAGCACACTGTATGGTTCGCGGATTGTAATATTGTCGCCTATAAGGTTCTGACTAAAAGTCCATGAGCATTACTTATGTACCGTTTTCCGAAAGAAAACAGAAGTTACCTTGGATAGTATTTGACAACCTCTCTGATGGCCTGTAACAACAGCGCGGAGTAAACAATCATCTTTGGGGATTCGAGTTCAACGACTTTCATGAATTCCAACGAATATTTAATGTCTTGCTGGTCCTCTGGGAGATTACGAGGAAGGCGCACATTGACCTTTGTCAGTATTTCAAAGATGTATGATGGCTCTTCAACTGGCTGAGCTGGTTCAACCTCTTTTTCGACTTGTAGGTTCAAAGGAGTATTGTAAGTTTCTGTGAAATCTCTACCGTCTAGATTGAAACATTCATAGGTGTACTTGATGCCGGAAACGGAAGCGTCTGGTTCGTCGTCATGCTTGGTTTCCTTCACCTCCTTGACCACTCCTTCGGGGCCTTTTTCATGGTCCACCGATACACTCGGTGCTGTGCTCTCAATAGTGGTGATGCTCGACATGGCAGTGAGTCTTTCTTTCTTTCTTTTTATTGAAAGAAACTTGGGGTGTAAAGTAACCAAGCGGCTGTAATCTTAGGGGGATGAAGAACTGGTTAGGTGAGATGACAATGTCGCTCGTCTCGTTCACTTGTCTAGGTGATATACCTAGGCGATGAAAACTACGCACCAGCCATATTTATTTATAATAAGAGCAGGATGAATTACAACATTATTGGTCTATAAAAGCACACTGTTATAGGTGGTCAATACGAGTTATTATTGTTATTTCCATCGTTATTATGGCTGCAGGAAGCAATTGCAACGTGGTACGAGAATCTTCATGCATACATCATAGCTGAAAGAGTTAATAAGCATAACAAAATTCTAGGCTCTCTCATTGCGATTTGGACTAGAGAGAGTTCATCCAATATTGCCTGCATATATACCTAACATTGGCAGGGATGGTGATAAACGCAACTTCAAACCATCTGTGGCCTAATGGCACGTTCCACCCCCTGCCAATGTTGGGCATATATACATTAAAAAAACTCTATAGTTCAAATTTAAATCACATTGAGCATGTGTTCATGTCAGCAGTTAGAATAGTCTACTTGGCAACTATGCAGGTCATCACAGAGGAAAGGTGGGACAAGGCTTGCCAGCAAACAGAGCGAATTACCAGCCTTGCGTACATATTTCGTATTAGGCAGCCAGCCACATTAAGAGTTTCTATGGGGAAAAAGCCTAGTCTGACAAATGATATATACTATAAATAGTCAGCGAGGTCAAAGTCAGCATAAAACCAGAACATAACAGCTTGCTTAGTGGATGGATTATTGTATCGCAAAGCCTGTTTATCTGTAGGATTCCACTCTAGTCAAGGATGCCATTCATAATTGGATATAGTTAACACAGTGACTATTATAGTGACAAATTGGTCAGAGTACATAAGGGTGCTGGTCTTGGTGACTAGTCAGCCTTGTCCCACATCTTTTCTCTGGTGATAATTTCCACCTCTGATTTTCATCACTCCGCCTGTGAAACAAAATGCATTTTCTGAGAACAAAGAAAAACACGGAGGCTCTCACGCATGTACGAGACTTCAGTCATGAAATTAACTTGCAAAGACCAGAGGAGTCACTAGCGTAAGTAAAGTGTGCGATTTTAGAAACATCCAACTTTCACTTTTGACTAACAAAAGAATGAAACAGAAAAGGCCTCGCTCAACGTGTCAAATGGGAAGTTGACAAAGAGAACAAAGGGGAGAGACTGTTCGCCGATTCTTTCAACTATTCTCTTGCTACGTATCGAGATGAAGAGCCACCGGAATATACCGAGTCGTAAGGGCTTGTTTTTGTCCGCCTTTGGGTGACCATGGCTAACTAGCATCTTAGACCTATTGAGCCGACTGACTTCAATGAGTTCTATCATATAACCAAAGAGCTTGATGACTCCTGGAAAAAAGTAATCGAGGAACTCAATAAAAAGCTCGGACAGAAAATAGACCTCACCGAGCTTTTGGAGCATCCAACTCCTGACAAGCTAGAGGGGATCGTCCGCCAAGCACAAGACTCGTTTCAAGAAAGAAAATTAACAAAAGGGGGTACCGTAAAGGAATGGGTCCACAAGATTGCAAGAAGAATAAACAATCACAGATATCTCCTTGACATGCTTCCAACGGGAGACAAGTACTTGTCAATTCTTACCGGTGGTCTAACGGCTTGTGTCAAGGTTCGTGACAAGATCATGATATTGCTAACTGTCATATTGACATTTGTGCAGGCTTCAATCGAGCATCAGGAAGTAGCAGATCTAGTATCTGACTTCTTAGAGAAGCTCTCCGACCAGACATATAAACTATTCCGCGCTGTGAAAGGAGCACCTCGAAACGATTATATTAGCTTACATGTGACCAAATTTTATTCCATTATGTTCGACGCTCTGGTGAAGATACTAAAACAATGGCTTTCATCAGCCTGGAACCGTCTCACCAACAGCTTTGGAAGCACCTTCAAAAAGGACCTGAAAGGATCAATGGAGAAGATGGAATACCATGTCAAAGAAGCTGTCGAAGAATTGAATTCGATCACTTTACAAGGTCTGGGTGCTCTGGTCCAGGCCGCCTTGGTTGGCTCCCAGCAAGACTTCATCGACGCCGCAGGATGGCCTGGGAACGTACCGATACACTTCATGCAAATTCATAATTCATCCCGCTCGCCCCCGGTAGAGATGGCTAAAAGTCACGGTCAGAAGGCTCATCGTGATGACCATCATGACAATTCTAAATATGGCAAATTTCTCTCAACCACGTCTGAGGTGCGAGAAAAGGAGAATAGTGAATCTTGGACATCGCAGACAATCCAGGAATCCGTAGCATGGATGGGTAGATTCACACAATCTGAGCATATAGCTAACCTTGTTGAACGAAGTCGCTACCTTGCAATAGATAGAGAGCTATATAGTAGCCTGATGCAATGGACGACATCAAACTCATCCGAGGCGCTGTGGATTGAAGGGCCGGCCGTAATGACAGAGCCGTCTCAAAACACACTGACAACAGCGTTCATCACCGCTATTTTTCAACACCGACGAGTTCCAGTCATATCCTACTTCTGTTACTACGACCAGAGAGACTACGAATCATTTTCCTGTGAAGCAGAACTACTGAAAATGGTCCTCGCATTGATATACCAAGTCTCAACTACCCTCCCCCCGGATATATCTTCTATTCTAGACTCTGAAGACATGCCCGACCTTTCACCGTCTAGAGTCGACTCCATCAAACCACGCTTGGAAAGTCTTCCCAACGCAATCGAATTACTTGGAGACATGCTAGCTCTTGGTCCCCCGCTATTCGCATGCTGTATAGATAGCTTGCAAATTCTCGACAAAGAGGAAGAATCAGCAAGATATAAAGCATGTTTCAGACGGTTTGTTGAGATTTTGGGAAATGCGAAACCGAGTCATCCGCGCATATTGAAGATGTGGCTATCAACTGACGGACATAGCTGGTCACTGCAGGATGCGGTAAATGAGGGATGGTTTCGGAGCCACCAGACTTATCATGAGAGTGAAGATGAACCGTTGATACTGGATATGGTTCGTGTAGCTGGAGCTACCTAGCTTTGACTATCAATATCGAGATTTCTGACGCTGTTGACTATTTTGATAATTTGGCACCAAGAGAATTACTCATACCAGCTTGCATTTTCGTCCAAAAGAGCTCTGTGTATTAGATGAACTCCAAGAAACCCAAAGCTTGGTTCTAGAGAGGAAGATGCATCGGGTTAATGGCATTAAGTATGGTAAGTCTAAAGTGATATGGCGAATCATCCCGGGCAAAAGCTAAGAATACTTCATGCTTGCTTAAACGAACGGTAGATATCCCGACATAAATCGTAGTCATCAAGCTCCTCCCAAATGACAACCAACCTTGAGAGTTAGTCTCGAAGTGGTCATAACTATAATAAAGTATGTAGTCATTAGGCTCAGGACTCTAAGATATAAAGTGCTGCCTCCACCCTATGGACCCTATTGGCATTCCAGTTCTTTTCAATTCACAATCTGCTTATACTATCACTGACAATGCGAATCACTTCCGATAAGACTCTAGGCGAGTTGAATACCACAATTACATTCTTACAACAAGCTTATGATATACTCAAGGATGACCCTAGATATGAGGATGGGATACGAGTATTGGAAAATTCGAGGGAGGATTTGAACTCGTGCCCCATGTCTCAGAATCAACTTCGGTGTATATCAGATTTTCAGCCAACGATTGAAGAATTTATAACCATTGTAAACGCCCGAAAACAAAGGAGCGTGCTGCACGGGGTTTATTCGCACTTTCTGACCTCGATAAAGCTTTGTTCGGACAACAAGGACGAGGCCCACCGTTTGTGTATAGAAATCCCATCTTTAAAGCGTTGAGGTTTTGTAAGGCATAATATATCTGGGTCCTGACTTCTCTTGAGCATCGCTGAGGCGGGTGAGGGGTATTCTTAACGGGGATATACAACTATGGAGGGCTGGGCTTGCTAGTGATGCTTCGTGATGCTTGCTTGGTTACTTCAAGGCCTTTTGTACCTAACAGTAGATGTCTATGACTTGGCTTTCTATATTTTTTTTTATTCCTTTCATTATGCACTTCATTTATTCATTTTCATTTTCTTTTGCTTCCCAAAATGAGAGCAAAAAACAAAACACCAGGAGCTTCGAGCAACTTCAACTTCATTATCTATGTCTAATTGAAATATCTAGTGGCAAACTAGAAATTAAACATAGCCAAGAGGAATCCATCTCATTTTCCAAGTCTAAGCTAAGGTATATATAATAAAAGAAAACCATCACTGCTAGGTCAATATCTACAGCTCGTACTCTTCAATCAACTTTTCCGCACATGTCAGCCCCGTGGCATATGCCACAGCCTGGGTATGACAGTTTGCCAACACAGGGGCCACACTTAAATCCGCAACACGAAGACCATCAATGCCCATCAACTGGAATTTGGAGTTGACGGCCGCATCCGAATCTTCAGGCTTACCCATCTTTACTGTGCCTGTCATATGCCAGCTAGAGGAAACATTTTGCCTCCAATATTCCAACAAATCCTCATCGGATTCTGACTTCGGAGCAGCTAGCTCTGCTATATTGTCCTTTGCGTAAGCATCGCTCTTTAGAACCCTGAACGCATCACGTAAAGATTCAATGGCTGCACGTTGGTCATATGGGTGAGCCAGGAAGTTTGGATCAAACAGAAGAGGCGCATCTGGATCTGAAGACTGAAGTAACACATCTCCGCGAGTCTGTGCATTGTAGAGAAAAACGAGCATGCATGAATAGCTCAGCGAGCTCTGGGGGAATTCAGGAATGAACCAGTGGACAGGGAAATGAGTCAAAATTTCATAATGAGGAACAGTCTCACCCAGCAAGTACTTCTGCTCGTCGGCTGGGAGGTCCTTGAATTCTTTCGACGACACAAGTTGGTCCAATTTGAACCATCCAACGCCCAATTGGCAGGCAAACTTTGCCCAAGGACCTGTTCCATCCTGGTTCCACTGGTCAAGAGCAGCATCCATCACTTTTTCGTCTCCATAGAATGCCGCTCGATCGGTACCTCCTTCCACGCGTTTGTAGACCAAGGGCACAAAGCAGTGGTCGCGAAGGCCCCGACCTATTGAAGGCACGGAACGTACAATGGGAATATTATATGCTTCTAGCTGGTCCGCGGGTCCGATCCCTGAGTGCATGAGAATCTTCGGTGTGTCAAGGGAACCCGCAGCGAGAATTACTTCTTTGGAAGCAAAATCTAGCCAGGTGAATGTCAGCAAAGATTTGAATGAATATATCCAAAACCACACGACCTACATGATTTCCCATTAGACTCAACTCCCACAGCTCTATTATCCTTTAGAATAAGACGTTGCACTGGTGTCTCAACGAGCAAGGTCAGGTTATCTGGCAGTGGAACGAGCAGATCCGCGGCGGTGGACCGCAGGCCCCGGTGAGTTGAGTTTATAAAAACAGACATCCCAATCGGATTTCCAGAGTTGTGGTCTGGGTTCAGTGGAAATCCAGCGCCTTCGAAGATATCGAGCATTGCTGGAAGGTCCCTTTCCCACTCACTTGCGAAGCCAACGTGGAGCGGACCTGAGCTGCCATGGTCTGAAGGCTTTGGATTCGCATACTTCTTGTCAATACCAGATGGAAGGTTGCCGTGGAAAGTTTCAAGGCTCTTAAATCGCTCCTGCATGCTCGTCCATTGAAACGCATCGTCACCAACGATCCTTGCCCATTCGTCATAATCCCCACGAGCGCCAACGCTATAAACCCCAAAGTTGATAGCACTCGAGCCCCCCATTCCTTTTCCACGGGAATAATCAATTTGACGGTCATTGCAATGAATCTGGGGTGTCGTTTTGTAGCCCCAGTTCATATCTTGATTCTGGAAGGTCAGCCACCGCTTGCCGTCGACACGGAGGTTGCGGTCGCTGTTGCTGCTACCAGCTTCAAGCAGCAGCACTTTGGGATGGCTGGCCGCTCGTGCCAGAGCAGAGGCTGTTGCACTGCCTGCAGGGCCACCTAACTGGAGTTAGAATGACTAACCAGCTGTATCATGTGCAAAACACTTACTGCCAACTACGATGAAATCATATTTCGATGCCATCTCTGATAGCTGACAGTCAATTATCTTTTCTGCGAAAGTCCGAGTGAGCAATACGTAAATTTTCAAGAAGAATAGTTGTAAAGAGTGTCATAACACCGAAAACAAGACTGTTAGGCTCAGGATCGAGTACAAATATACGGCGCGGCGATCATGCTCGTCTCTCTAAACGACCTACCTGATTAGGACAATTCGCTAAGCAGTCCTCGTTTTGAGTAGCAATTTGTCGATCTGTTTCAATTCGACGTTCTGTGCGCCGAAACCCACACGGCAAGTTTGATAGCTTGCTCGTCCAGGCTTCTGCAGCATTAGTCTGCGTTAGAGTGGCCTTGGGTATCATAATCCTTGCTCTTACGCAGAGAGACTTTCTCCTGTGCCGCAGAAGCCATTATCCAAATCAATAATGATGCTTTATATAGATACCCACCCCAGTAGTAGCGGCTGTATGGTTCCCATGTTCCTCTCAAATATAGGCTATTGGAGCCACTGGGAGATATAGTACGCACGTACGTAATGCTAATAAGCTGGCAATGGTAACATCAGTCCAAGAATTGGAATTAATCTGCTACTCTATAAGAGTAACAGAAATAACTACAAGCATTTCTCAAATTTCCAGGGGATTAGCTCGTGTGGTGGACGGCTCAAATGGCATAGGCACCCCCTCGATGACAACCTGCATACTTATCTTGCCTCAAGCTTACATGGCCATGGCTACTTTCCGAATTGTCTCTATGGTCTAGGCAATGCGGAACTTGGGCCGGTCTATAGTGGAAGACCCATTTTCGTGCGGACCGAAAGATAGTGCAGTGCGCCTTGACTCTTCAGAATCCAGGGATCCAGCACTGCCTTAATCATTCTGAGTACTCTACTCAACGGTTGTATAAAATAAGCACTAGTCCGTAATTATGCATTAGGTATTATATTTAAGGTCCCTCGGAAATTTACTGTGGAACTGTGAAAAAGCGTTAGTTGGCAATGTGCTCGCTGATCAGGAGGCATTGCATGCAAGACGGCTCTTATAAGACCCGTCAACTAACCCACCAACTATGTCTAGGCCTAAGAGTAGCCAACAATCTTAAGCCGTGCACAAGCTGGCATTTATCCTTGCATGGCAACGGGCGCCGTTATCATCTAAGTTTATTCCCGGTCTATGACGGGGCCGATACGCAGGATTCGTAATGGCGTTTTTCCCTCAAGCGAGATATATCCTTGGATATCAAAATCAGACTTTGGGTGAGTAAGAACTTAGTTGGCCTTAGTATAGAGAATGTTCACCGCAACTGTTTGTGCTTGTGTTTACAGAGTCCTCAAAGATCGACACCCCTTTTATACCTGACTATGTAAAACGGCGATGATGAATTGTTCGAGGGCAGGGCATCTTGAACACGTATATATGTCGAGATATCTGAGAGACCAACGAATGCACCCCTACGGTCCTGTAACAGGTGGTTGATGTCCGACTGTATCCCGGGAGAGGGATTATATCAGAATAACCAAGAACGGCAATAGCTGAAAATGTCAGCGGCATCCAGTGATGTCGAGGCATTTACCCTGCTATCTCTGGCTTTGGCTTTCATTATTGTACGGATTTATGTGCGATGGGATCTCGTCGGCCCCAAGCATTTTCAGCTCGATGACTACTTGATGCCCTTGGCAGGTGTAAGTACATTCGCTATACGTTTATTTAATTCTGATAGCGGCGCATTTGACTTCCTTGCTTACAACTGGCCCTACAGCTGGCATTCACTGGAGAAACTATAGCTGCATACCTGGTGGTAGCCCAATTCGACGGCCTCACTAATAGTTACATGACTCCGGAGGAGCGTGCGGCATTGGATCCAAAATCAAAGGAATACTACGACCGCATATGGGGTTCAAAAATACAAGTCATAGGCTGGTCCTTGTACGTTATGGTGCTGTGGTTGGTTAAATTCAGCCTGGCTGGGTTTTATTCGCGCTTGACGTAAGTCTCAAGAAATTCATCTCCTGCTTGGAATCCAAACTTATTGGTTGCGAGTGAATAGTACCGGCTTGATGCAATTTCAAAGTCGCGTTCACATTGCATACGCCCTGCTCGCTGTTACCTACCTTGCCACTGCGCTCTCTCTCATCCTTTCATGTCAACCCATGCGCAAATTCTGGCAGATCAACCCAGATCCAGGAAGTAAGCTTTCTCATGTCTCATTTCATATTGTTGATATTCTTACACAGAAACCTACAGATAAGTGTCAGCCGACAATTTCCAAGGTATACGTCGCTGTTGCCCTGACTTTTGACATAAGCACTGATCTTTTTCTGCTTTCCATTCCCTTGCCGGTATGTTCAGTCTTCGGTTTTCATGACGTTGAAGAATCATCGGGCTGACTTATTTCCGATAACAGCTCTTGTGGAGAGTTAATATCAGTATGAAGCGAAAAATAAGTTTGATGGCCTTGTTTAGTGGAGGCGTCTTTGTTATTGCAGCCGGCATGATTCGAGCGATAGTGATCCTTACGGTATGTCCAAAGATATTACCTACTTTGTAGTTATTCGCACTGACATTAAACTTGGTCTTAAGTCTGGTCCCGACGGCGCCGTATCAGGAAGCAAATGGGCATGTCGTGAGACATTTGTATCCATCGTCCTATCCAACCTACCGATTATTTCTCCTTTAATCCGGACCTGTGCCAACAAAATCGGGCTCAGTGTCTTATTTAGTTCCACCGGCCGTCCATCTCGAAGCCACCCACTATCTAGTAAGCGAGACACGGGTCATGAACTACGAAAGCGGAGCGAGCATAGTCACCCATTATCAATTCCCGGGACCACAGCTTGGGACAGTGATGAGCACATCCTTGCTCAACAAGATGGAATTAATACCAACTCCGAGAGCTCGACTTATAGGAATAAACACCATGGTCAGAGACAGAGCGAAGAAAATGGGTTTCCGAAGCAAATAACAGTTGTGCAAGAAACAGTCATTCGAAACGATCCAATGACAGACCAATCCATTCCGTCTCCAGGAGCAAGAGACGGAGAAGAACGTCACAGAAGCAATTCTTTTTCAAATTTCAATTCTACAATTACTTCTGGATTACCACAACATCGTTGGTAGGGCAAACAGATTGCATAGGCTTAAATTCTCACAAAGGATGGTTCTGGTTGGGTCTTTGTATATGGCCTTTTGAACGACGTATATTAGATATACGTTTCACGCCAAAAGATTATTAATTATTAACTACGGCTCCAGTCACATATTTAAATACTGATCCACAAATGTACCAACCCATAATGGAAGGGGAAAACGGCAGTAAATCCATCTTGCGCTATAAAATGTCCCATCTCGATGGACTGCTAAGAAGAAGTCTTGCTCCAACCAGTAAAGTCAAGCCGCGTCCCCGTAATCTCGTTAAAAATCACATTTGGATTCAAATCCTGGCCAATTTCGATATCCCATATGGTAAAAGTACCACACAAGGCATAGCTCAACTTCTGCGGCACCGGGCTGTCAAACATACTTCCATCCGTGAATAATCTGCGGATTCTGAAGTCAATACAGAATAGTTCAGTGTCAGTGAATGATTACCAAATTCACGCCCAAAGCGCAAGTGCCTATTCTAATGCTAATATATACAATATATATATGCAGAAAAATGAACAGCAATAACACTCCTCCTCCTCCTCCGCCTCCTCATCCTCCTCACGCCGCGCCTCTGGGTTGCAGGCTATTTCGAGCCAGTAAGCAAGCTGTTCACAACAATATTGCGGTCGTGTTCTACAATATATACATACCGACCTCGTCGGTAAGTCTCTACTATATGATGAGCATTAATGTAATGAAGGCTAATATATCCCAGTTGACCAGCTACAGGCCCGCGCCGCCTCCGGTGGCCACTTCTCGCGGTGTATGGGATCGTCCTCCACCACAGCAGCGCCCTCGAGCCGTCCTGGTGTCTGCCTAGGCATTAGGGCCATTTGTTGAGCTTCCATCGGAGGCTTATTTTAGGCAAGGTCGGAGGGACTGCCCTGTAGTATTGCACGGACCTCCACCGTGGAGAAGTTCGCAACCTCTCAGCTCGCGCGAGATGCTTTGGTCTCGCGAGCCCATTCTCAGGTCGGTCGATATGATCCACCTCAAGACATGGGAACAGTTGGCTCGGCGTGCCCAGCTTCGTGAGGCAATTGTTGTCACTCGTGCTGGCCGCCAGCCTCCTCTTGGCGAGGAGTGTACTGCATGCCGCAATCTTAATGCAAATCTCCCGCTTGCTCTGCGTGTCAGTAGTGGTATTGGGGGGAAGTGCAATAATTGCCTCTATCGTGGGCACGTCAGGTGTTCCTTTCAAGGTTAGGCCTTCTGCCGGCAAGCACTCTCCCCGCCAGACTTGCGACCTGGTACCCGTAGCCGGTAAGTCTCTCCCTTGTTCTATTGTGTTTGGTGGGCTGCGGCCCTTGGGATAATGTGTTGGTGGGCGGGTGGGAAAGGCTGTTTTATGTTATTTCTTTTGTGTTGTATTTAAAAGCTTTCAGAAATCGAATCCGTTTGTGTTGAAACTATAGAGTAGAGTTTTGATATTAATTAATCTCTTATTTCTCATTGACTACTTTTAGTTGAACGCTTACGTTTATTTTAATACTTTGCCTCAGGCATCAACCATAAGCCTATTTCTCTCGCTTGGTGACTATTGACGCCCGGTTGTTTTATAAACTTCCTACTCTCTCATGACAATCGACCGTAGCCATTTTTAAAAATTTCTTACTCTCTCGTCTTTGTCTCCAAACTTCATACCTCTTCATTTTTTTAGAGATACGAGGTGGCATTGTGGCATCTTAAAAGCGACAAGGTGCTTGAGATCTTATCTGTGAACAGAGATGGTCTCAGGCTGTCACTATAATAATTAGGAAGATGCTTAAGCGCAACCCCCTGGGCAACCTCTACGGTGCTGATGGCGAGACAATATTCCACAACCACATCTGTCTTAAGCTGAAAGAGTATGATGCACACAAGTTTCAGCATTTGGGTCAGAAGGAAGGAGGAAAAGATAATAAGATAACACAGTGCGTCAAGCAGCTTATGTCGATAGAGAAACAGACTCTAGTCCAAAAGGTTGCAAAAAGAGAGGATCCAGACTCAGAGACTAGTAAAACTGAAACGAGTCCGCTCGGGAAATCTACGCAATTCAACGTTAATATCATTAATCTGTCCTTTATTATTATTGATATAGTTTCCATCAATAATAGCAGGGAGACCACAAATTTCTTAAGTTATTTACTTAAAGAGTTTCTTCAGGAGAGGTCTTGCACATTACTAGATAATGATATCATTAATTAATTCTCATTCGCTGCTTGGCAGAAGGCTTTGTTTAAAGATCTAGAAGCCTAAAAACTACTAAGTATTAGTTCACTGACTTTCTTTACATCACAAGATTATATTAAGATAATTACTCCAAATAGTCACAATCTACGATCCGCTATAGTAAAGACGATTACGAGCCGTAAAGACTGCATGTCTGTGAATCTTTATATGAAGATCTCAATGGGTGAGCCTTAGAGATTGAAATGATTCTTCACTACGTTTTGGAAACGGATACTGACAGTTACTTTATGCAGATGATGAGGTGGAGTTAACACGATCAAAGGCGCTTAATGATGAGATTCAGCGTCAGAAGGGCGCTAAAGATAAAGAAAGGCGACGCAAGGAACATGAAGAAGAGGAAGCGGTTCGCAACAACACTGTCGAGGAGGAGGAGACGCGACGCAAGGCAAGCGAGGAAGAACAAGCCGCTCACAAGAAGGCTGCTGAAGATGAGGAGAGACGCAGGAAGGAACTCGAAACCATATCTCAAAAGGCACTTGAAGAAGCGGAAGCATCCAAGTCTGAAGAAGAGTCCGAGGAAGATGTTGATGATGTTGTGGAAGACGAGGAGTGGCTCGTTAGTTATGACGAGTATGTTTGTCTTTTCTACAGTCTCGTTATATTCTCAACTAATTTGAGTTTTAATAATAATTCAATTTCAGCAGAGGCCTACCACCTGTGTGAACACAACACGACCGAAGATATCGACGAGTTTAAACTGGCTTTCAAAATCAAGGGTAGCGTCTTACATCCGCAGTGGATCTTTAAGCTCCCGGATATGAAGCGCACGCTCCTCGTGTATCAGATAATGGGGGCTTGGTGGATTATCAAAAAACATCAAGATCCCTTCGTGCGCATCGCCCTTTGTGGCGATGAGATGGGACTAGGTAAAATTACAATTCTAACCAGATTGAGGCCTTACTGCTGGCCTCACTATGCTCGCTTATAAGGTCAGTTTTGGGTATAGATTCGGAATAGTGCACGAGCAGGAAGGGTCCAGGGCTATGTTGATTAGATTCCTGGCTGAAATCAGTAGGCTCAATACATTCCAATTCCTTAGTAGAGGTCTAACCAACTTGGGATTCCTGCTATGTCAGCCAGTCTTCATTTTGCCATTCTGTCCACAAATAGATATATGTTATAGATTACTTTCTAGTCGTTGTGTATGTCCAATAGCCCAGAGCGTGTCGACTTCCTTTTGTCGGCACTGCTCATTTAATAGATCGGTCATAAACACCGAGGAGATATTGCTGTTTCTGTGCCTAGGGTCGAGAACTTTTCCGTGCGTTAACGGACAATGGTGGGTCAAAACGACGACTTTCCGGCCAGGTTCCAGGCGCGAAATCGAATCAATTTTCCTGTTTAGCCAAGCAAGATCCGAAAGTTGTGCTTCTTGGTATGCTTCAATTTTTCAATCAGGAATATAGTATAATCTTTGATGCCAAAACTAATGTTCTCGGCTTGTTTCTTGATGATATGTGAGAACAACGTGCATCCAAGAATGGTGAGCGTTGGGGAAATGTCGTAGCGCGTTTGATCAAGCCAAAAAAAAAAAAAAAAAAAAAAAAAAACCCTGCCAAATGCCTCTCGTCGCCGAGAAGAGTCATCGATGCTCTCTTTATAGTGATTCACCTTGGCCTTAGTCTCAGTCCAGTCACTGTGATATGCTCCATGGTTCCCTAGAACCAAAAACACAAACTGAAGGCTCCAGCTGCTTCCGGATAAGAACGAAGAACCCATTATCTTTGATCAAGCCAATCTCATCTAGCAACGCTAGGAATGATGTCTTGGGATCGATGTCCAATATTCATAGGCAGCCGGTGACTCCAGGTGAACGTCCTCGATTCATGGCTTTCCATTGTCCTTCCCAATCGAGCTTTGGCGGGAAGACTGGCCCTTAAGGCCTTTGACAGCATTGATAGCAAACCAATCTTTGTCGAGCAAAACACAAACTTATCACAACAGGCAACGGACCCAGCGTTGTCTTCACTCAATGCTGTTCGGCAATTGCTAGCTGTTCGCCACCTAACAAGTTTACCTACCGATGCTGCGATAAACTTCTTTCATCGTAATGCATTAACAGCGCAGGCTGTTATACGAGGTCTTTTAGTTAGGCTCTCGTCATCTGGAAAATTATCCGCTCTTTCTCAGGGGCTGATTTGTGGTATTACAACCCTTTCTCAACGCGGTGCCTTACTAGTCGCTACACTCGGCACAGAATCACACGTCATGCGCAAGCAGATTTCTGCTAAGATGCTTTATATCATCAGAGATGGTGAACTTTCGGTCAGAAAGCGTGAAGAAGCAGGTCGTGTACTCGCACGACTCGGTGACCCGCGCGACTTAACGGAACTTGCCGACATTCCAGCCGGTACTTTTATATTCGGCTCGAACAGCCATCCGATTTCACAGCCACAAGGTCTAATAACGCTTAATGGCTTTCGAATTGGTATCTACCCAGTTGTGAATCGCGACTATTCACTTTTCGTTCGGGAAACAGGGCGCGAGTGGCTCAGTCCAGATGGACTAGATACCGAACGGGCGAATGCGCCAGCAACGGAAATCAACTGGAATGATGCAAGTGCCTACTGTAAATGGTTGACTAGTCGATAGCGTTCAAGTAACAAAGTAAGCTCAGACGAGCATGTCCGACTTCCTACGGAGCCGGGGTGGGAGAGAGCGTCGAATGGCGATCAGAATCAAGTGAATTGTGACGGCCCGATCTATCCCTGGGGCTGGGAATGGAAGAATAACGCTTGCAATTGCTAAGAGATCGGGCTGAATAATACATGTGCTGTCGGACTTTTTCCCGATGGTCGGTCACACTACGGCTGCTATGATATGGCAGGGTAGGTGTAGGAATGGTGTACAACCGCTTTGGGGCGAGGACATGACTACTCCCTCATTCGCATACCCCTGGCGCGACGGTGGTCGAGAAGACCTAGATGCCCCGGAGTCCATACGGTAGGTGCTACGCGGAGCTTGCTTCTCGAGGGGAAGGTTAAAGGCTTGTGGCACGTATAGAGGCAGTCCGGAGATGATCAGCTTTTGGCGCGAGAATGGTTTTCGAAGTGTAGTTGTCAAGTAGCGCACTATCACTGCTATTAGACATTTGTGTCAAATAAATTTAAGATATATGTGGGTTGATTGCACAGGAGGGCCCGATAGGCCTGATTAACGTGCTGGAAATGGGTGCATTTCGCAGTTTCCAAATTAGGGAATCTTAAATGTAGGTTTAGGGCTAACCCTAAGTGCCGGAATCTTCTACGAGCTGCTTTAAACTAAGGCATATATATATCTGCACTACTAACCTCGCGAGCCATCAGTAACAAAAGTCTGAGATAGCGAGAATCAAGCCAGTATTACTGCATAGCCAAAGCAGCCAACGTCAGATCGGAAATGGACATCATCTCCGGGCACAGAGTCTGCTTTGGCTTATGGGAGGAACATTTAGTAACGCACGTGGGTATCTCGTGCGCCGACATTCGAAACCATCTTAAGACATATTAGTACAACAACACGCTGAGTAAACAGTCGTCTTCGATTGGGCGTGGGCAGCAAAACAAGCTTTTGGCTGCGATGGTTGGCCTGAGGCTCCACTATTTCGCTAACTGCTCGTGTGCGCAAGTTCCGATTTGATTGTTGTTCTCGAAACAGAAACTCCCTGGCCTGCTCGAACGGAACTATCGGCAAAACAGGTACTCAAATCGAGAACATGCGACTTAGCAACGTTATCCATTCCATATCATACCTACCCACTGCTTTTTGCTTTAACCTCCTCCCGCCCACGGAGACGACTCGACAATACATACGTGCATAAGCACTAAGCGCTAGAGGCTGCCGTACATGCGACCCGGAGCTTAAGCCGAACGTTGATTAATTTCCTGTCGAATCATATTCTGTAAATTGTGCACCTGCCAGTGTGTTATTCTTAAACTGCTGTGCAGACATCAACGCTATGCCTTTTTTTTTTTTTTTTTTCTCAATTCTTCTCGCGCATTAGGTATAAAAAGCCATGCTTTTCCAGATCGGAGAATGGAGAAGTTGATGCATGCGTCTTCGAGAACTCTTCGGCTGAAACAGACGCCATAGGTTTTGCTCGCGATCATGTCTGTGCTACTCTGTTCAGCTTTACTGGCTTGCTGTGTTATCGGCATAGCCTCTGGCAAACCTCAAAAGGGCCAGGGACGTATTACTGCTACTAAGGGTTTGAAGAAACTCACAGTGGGGATTGTTGGTGGTATGTGGTGCTTTTACTTGGACCAGGTATCAATGGATTGATATCTGAACACACGAAAGTAAGGTGCTGACGAAGAATTCTGCAGACTATGGATGGACGGGTTGGAATCCAGCGAATGAGTACTTCTGCAACGAGATAAAGCCCATCTTTGCAGCCAACAACATTACGCTTCCTCGGGAAGTGCAGAAGGATTGCGATGCTAGTGACAGAAGCGTAATCCATAATGCCACTGCTCTTCAAAGTACGTCAAGCTCCTAGTGACCGCTACAAGTTAAATTGTGTGCTAATCATGCATGGAATCTACAGCGTCTACGTCCAACTATATTGGCCAAATCTGCGCAATGAAAAACTGCTCAGCCTTCATCTCCGTCGGTGACAATTTCTATGACAGCGGTGTGGATTTTACTACTACAGGAATCAACCGCTTCCAAGAGGCATGGGTGGACATGTACGCCCAGGGAATATTTGAATACACCCCTTGGTACCAGTGTCTTGGAAACCACGATATCGTTCAAGGTCAAGCAGGGGTTGACTTTGAGACGAAGTTGGCCCCTCTGTACGACGATCGATGGTACTTTGGCACCGAGGGGTTGCCTTACTATACTTATGACCTAGTCGGCCACGACTGGACTGCTACATTCGTCGTCCTTGACTCTGACTGCTTTATTGACAAATATCAAAAAGACACCTCACCTTACAATAACAACTATACCATCTCTTGCCACCAGGATACCCAGACGCAAGTGGATTTCCTCGCGGAGACCTTTGCCAACTCTAACGCCGACTGGAAATTCTTACAGTTGCATCATCCGATGCTGTCATCCCACGCCAACTACACCGAGCTCTGGCCACTGATCTCAGTCGTCGAGCAGCATAATGGCGTTGTCCTAAATGGTCACGATCACTGTGCTGCGCACTACTATGGCAATAACACCAACTTTGTGCTCTCCGGTGCTGCGGGATTCCCCGATCTTGTTGACTGCAACTACGGAGTACCTCTCGGCCCCTACGTTAAGTTCCTCGGCTCCAACTCCAAAGCTGCTGCCAATGGCTTTGTTACCATGGAAATAAGCTCCAAGGAGCTGGTCTTTGAGTACTACATCCGCAACATGCAGTACGATGGCGGAGACTTGTATCCCGTGAAGAACGACATGCAGCCTTCGTATTCTTTCAAAGTGAAGGAACACGCCTGGTAGATAACAAGTGACGGAAGGCAGTAAATAATCAAGTGCCTAGAGAGTATAATAGAATCGAAGAAATTCGAGAACAAAATTTGAGCTTACAACGACTAGCCAGAGTACTTCCGCGCGCTAATGTTGCACGTAGTCGTAGACCCAGAGCGTAATTGTACGGATATAAGAAACAAGAAACAGGAATAACACAGTTACCTATTTGCATGTAAAAACTTTTGTGCAACATATCTGTATGTCGGAATATTGTTGAAGATGTACAACGCGGGCAACATATTTTCCTTTCCGCCGGTGGATTCAGCCGCTCCACAAGATTGAAAGTTGACGATTGGCACTACAAACCACAAATCACAGAACTCAGAGAAACGACAAATCAACATGGCCTCTCAAGTCATCTTTGACCCCTTGGCCGCCCTGGCCCTGGCTCTTCTCGTCTCATCCACGTGCACGCTCTGGTATGCGTTTGATCAGCACCACTTCTTGACCGTCTTCAACTCGCCCGTCAACCGCACCAAGTCAGACGCCATTCTGCCTACCTATTTCAAAGAATTCTTTCAAGCGGGACTTCCTCGTGTGGTTGGGCTTCTGGGACTGACGTTTTTGACGGCGATCGGAAATTACTACTGGCGCTACGACTCATTGGTCGCTACTCGGTCGCTGCGATGGTATGTAGCCGGCGCTTGGTTGGCGGTCAGCCACTTACTGTTCGTGCCCTTGGTTGCACCGCGCATTCAATCCATCGTGGAGAATAGAGCGGCAAAGGGACGGCCAACCAGTGTCTTGGATGAGTGGTTGAACATCCACCTATTTCGCACGTGGACCGTTGATCTGGCTGCGTGGACATGTTTCGTTGTGGGCGTTGTTCGAAATGTGAATGTCTGAAGGTTTTCGGTACGTCAATGGTGTTGAGTTTTGTGAATGACGAGAACAAGGCGGACGCTGCTATCTGCAATTTGGCTCTTGCAAGGATATGGTTGTTTTTATTCCTTACATACAATCTTTTCGTTGTTCACGGGCACTTCTCGGGGTTATATGTAAGATATGCTGAGTTTTCCAGTGATCATATTGTCCATTCGTCGTAAGCCTGCTCATTGAGGGCAACCTGCCAAATCAAGTATAGCTTACAAATCTCGCACATGGTGAAATTTGCGTCGTTTGTGTATTTTTTTTGTCCAATGAAATGCACCGCAAAGGATATTCAGTCGCTGGCATCCAATTCCGACATGATAGAGACGTAGTAAGTTATCTACACTGCTGCTTGTAAGGAAAACTCGGCCACGCAAGACATCGTGCATGTCAGACAATTGCCATGATATTCCGATTTCCAACCCGAATCCTTCGAATATCAAACATTGATGTACTAGAACGACGCCCACTGAACACCGACCACGGGAGCCTACTACATATGGATAGAACAAAAACCTTCAAAGACTGGTGCTCAACTAGTATCCCACATATTCGGGGGGCACGTTCTCGATGTGCTGTCGAGCCTCGTATTTAGCCCTCTCGGCGTCGATAAAGTCAAGGCCCTTGGTCTCGACTTCGCGGTCTACAAACGCGCCGGCAAATCCGGCCATGATCTCTTTTGCTTCTGCATGGCTGGCGGGTTGGCCTATATATGATTACACTGGTTAGAAATGCCGCAGCACAGAGATACATGACAGCTAGTTAAAAGATGCCGGACGGCAATTTCCAGCTGTTTCCCTCACCATTTTCCGCGCAGTGATTCTCATAGGCCTTTGCAGCTTCGTAAGATGCGGCACCAGCAATCAATTCATGCACCAGGCTAGGGTCGTGTTCCCGAGGCTCGGCACTGTTCCAAGTGTTGTAGGAGTTTGCCTGATCAGAATCATCTATAAATAACCACCCTGTCAGTATCTGTTTCAAATATCGGGGGGAAATGACTTACCGCTGAACCAGCCCATGGTGAAGGTAGTGTATATAGGAGTCTGTGAAAATAGAGAGAGGTAGGGAAATTGTGATATTATATTTGGGAAGAAAACTGTGTGGAATAAGTGAGAGAGGAGGGGTTTTTTTACCTTAACTACCCCTCTTCGAGAGGGGCACTGACGTGTCTTGTTTATATCTAAGCACTACGCTATTATTTAGCTCCAACATTCTAAAGACTAATAATCTCGGTAAGTATCGGCGCCATCGTTTCGAATAAAGCGCGATTGGCTATAAATTCTCCGCCTGTGGAGGCCTAGGTATGTCAGGTTGGGATGTGAGACGGCGGACGTAAATCCCGGGCCCATCTCTATTAAAATATATATGGAGATGTCTGTTCGCCAGAAAATGAGGTATTAACCGCGGTTCCTACGGGTAATTGACTGCTTATAACCGCTCTATAAAAGTCTATAACAAGGACAAGTACAGTAATGTAAATTCTGTCTAAATTATGTATTGAACTGCGAGAAGCAATTGACAGCGGTATTATCAGTAGTGTTTCAGTCTTATGCCACGTCCCATAAAATACAACAACAACTACTAACGACAAGTTAACAAGGAAGAAAATAATCCAACATCGTAATACGTATCTAGGTATGGGAGATCAACGCAGTTGGAAGCGAACGCAATGCCATTTGACACTCCCAGGCATCGTAATTTTTGATGATTTCTGTCTCTGCACCCTTAAAATTTTTGTGTTTGTTTCTTTGTTCCAACACCTGTTGATTGTGGCCGGCGATGCTCGTATAATGGTATGCTTGCGGGTACTTGTGCTCGAAGCCAGCGCGAGCTTGCATGGCCCTAAAATTGTGAATTTAGCTTGTGGGCAGTGCTTCGTTCAAATGAAAGATGCCAATCTTACTCCAGTGCCATGGTTTGTCCATCTCTTGCGATGGAAATGGCCTCCCTTATCTCGGCACCCTGGGCTAGAGTAGGTGTATGATTTTGGCCAACCTCCTTTTCGTGACTTTCTTTAGAAATTTACTTGGATCTGCCTTCGTGTCAGATAGTCGGTGGTATTCTGCGCGCTCAGCGCTCATAAGATTTGTCCACGGTTCTGGACGTACTTCGTAAGGACTGGAGTATTGGTGTTGCCGTATAGGTTCGTGGAACGAATGAGCACGATGGCGGCGTTCTTTTCGAATGTCTATGTTATCCATGCTTTGCTTCAAATGTCATATCTTCTTGGTCTCCTGGATTGCCCATATCTCTTCCTGAAGGGGTCCCTTCTCGAAATGGGGGCCGTAGTGACTTGGCCCTGATTGAGGTATGCCTATGGAGCTACTCATTCTCATTCTGCTCCAGATACCTGATCATGCCTCCCTTCAGTCATTCGTTCATTCATCGCTAATATGCTATCAAGCATACCTTGCCGTGCGACAGAGAGCTCTCTACCGCATTTTGAAAACGCAATACGGAGCACCTCTGGATATCAATGAGGCAATCACTGCTGTGCGGTCTGAGGGAATGATATTCAAGACCCGCAAAGAAGAGGAGATTGCTTTGTTGGACAGTTGGCGGCGCAGAGATAAGACGTCGCAAGCTGGCTAAACCATTGAAATCGCCATGCCAGCTTCATGACCTGTTAACTTGGAAGAAACAATAAAACTAGTACCACTTTTCCGTATGTTATACTTCTTTCAAGACTATACACAGCATATATCACGGCGGAATTGGATAGAGTCTGCTAAATGAAATGATGAAATGCGCCCTGTAGAACTATCCCACATTGAAGAACGCCGCATCCTCAGAGCACTATGTCGACTTCAAATTCTTGCCAATATCTTTGGCGTTGCTGAAATCCATCTTGATCTCTCATTTTAAGTGAATGACTTGGACCCAATGGACTGGGCCACAAAAAACACTAGACTCGAGGCCTACCGTTTGTTTCATGCCACAATGCCTCTTTTGGAATACGAAGAAATGGTTTGTATGTTAACCTACATCATAAAGAAATATGAACCTGTGTCGAGGAAAATATCTGAAGACTTGCGGAAGCTCCTCAATGATGCCGGGTGTGATGCATTTCGGAATCTCCCCGAGGATCAACAGCCGCCCCTTCAATCCGCGTATGTAGTGTGCTTATAACCTCGTTTATTTCTAATACCATTTTCCCACATTAGCCGCGATTGGACCATGGTTTCTCTATCGCATTCTACATTCGGACGATCGTATCCAGCGTGACATGGTCGTGGCCAACGCGGGCGAATGTCTTTTTGAAATCTTCATTGGATTAGATCTTGAGATTTATGGAGATGAGAGATTTCCATGAATTTAGCTTGCGGATCGACACACAGCCCCGAATTTTGAACAACTCTGGTCCACATTATTGCCTATTGAGCAACCCAGTCTTGGTTGGAAATGGCGTGGATCGCACCGCATACAGCAGATCAAGAGCTCGCGGACGCACCGAAGGAAAAACATGAACGACGAGGAAGACTGGAAACGGGGGTACGCTTTATGGGATGACAAGCGGCTACAAGACTGGTACTCTTATCTACCTGGTACCGCGTGAGCGTGTCGTGTTTCTTAACATATTCAAATTCTGAGTTCCTCTGAATAGCAGATATTGACTAGAATTTGTTATGATTATCAAAGTACAAATCGCTATTATAACTACAACATATTGCCAATTTCAACCAAAATAACTGCAAGACTAAATACCAGGTCTCTGCGCATAATCGTGTCCACATGTCTACGTAGGTGCTAGCTGCCACACATCAAAAAGACAGATCGTATTCTTGATGACGGGTGCGGTCCAGGCACTATCACCACGGGTTTCGCCAAGTACGATTGATTGAGATGAGGAGACTTTTGAAGCCGGGTGGCATTCTCGCTGTACGCGACGGTACCCACCAGCACTTCTACCCACCAAGCCTAGGGCTCGACCACTTGTGGGTCCGTAATCAGGGTCGGGCATTGCTCAAGGGGGCCATGTGTGTAGACCCAACGGGGACAATTTTACCAGCATTGTTTCGTCGTGCGGGCTTTGATGCCGATGGCGGCAAAGTCCTGATTGGATGCGGAACGACCGTCTTTTCAGGGCCGGAAATCCGAAAGTGGTTAGCCATTCGTGCAGCCAGCCAGCTGCAGCCAGCAGATGCTGTCTACCACAGCTGGCTGGATGCTGGCATTACTGAGGGTGAAATTCAGCAGACGCTGCTGGCCGTTAATAAGTGGGCCGACACCGAGGATGCCTGGTACGGCGTCTTGCAATGTGAGATGCTTGCGTGGAAGTAAGCGAAGTAGCCCTAATATTACAATCAGCCACCAGCCCTACCGAATGTGGTGATATTAGGGTTACATGGTCACATATGAGTTGGATGACAATGACAGTAGTTATGTTTATGTATTGATACGCAGTTAACGCAGGCCTCTTGAAATTTAACGCTTTTGCTGTTTGGAAAGCAGACTTCAATGGTGGTTGTAAATCTTGCCATAAAATGAGACGCTGAGGAGAAAGATCATCAGCACACCTTTGAGGATCTATTAAATTAATCAGGCCATGGAGTCCATCGCCATCAATTTCTCTTGTAAAGCAGCAAAATTTCGTTTCATCGCATTTTCTGTGAACTGTTGTCCCGTAACCATGGGATATTTTTTCAGTGGTCCCTGGATCGTCGAGTCTGTACAAGGCTGGTTGAAATAAGCAATGCTATATCGGTCGCCATAGTAATCACCGGGCTCGCACGGTGCTTTGACACGGTGGAAAGTCGATTTGAAACGATCATCGGACCAAGACATAAGCAAGTCTCCAATGTTGCATACAATTTCTCCGGTTTTTGGTTCAACTTTGGTCCATATATCTCCAATACCAAACTCTGTTACTACTTCGCGGCCAGGACATATCTCAAGCCCACTCTGACCCGCGTTCTGAAAGAGCAAAGTCAGGAAGTCCCAATCCGCATGGGCTCCTGCTCGATGATATACTTTCCCATCAGACTCTTCAGGCAGCGCGAAGTAGTGCAGCAACCGGCAGACCGTCTGTGAGTTTGGGCGCGATACGTCGTGGGCTTTGATAAAGAAATCTTCCGGGAAACTCAGTCCACGTGCAAAGCATCGCATGAGCCTTTCCGAGATTCCCTGAACCTTGTGCATAAATTCGAGGGAGGTGGTTTTAAAATCGGGAAGATGGGCTTCCGCGATCCAAACATCCGTCATGTTCTCGCCGAACTGCAGTTGATATGATTCCTTTGTGTCCGGCTTTCCTGTAGACGGGCGTACTTGTCGATTCTTCTCCCATCCCACGTTTTTCGAGCTCCACGGGACTGTTGCTTTGACTTCGTCCGAGAGGGCGAAGAAGCTATATGAATTGGAGAACATGCGTTCAATTTCTTCATTGGTTAGCCCATGGTTAATCACGGTAAAGAAGCCGACGTTCTCAGCGGAGTCAATAAGCTCGGAAGTGATGCTATCAATCCTCGCTTCGAAATCATGCAGGGAGATCTGCGGGATTTGTCGCTCGGCGTATCTGGTTTTGCTGCTCATGGTGGACGAGAGTGCTTATTACTAGTGCCGTAAGAGTGTATCAAAAATTTCCTGCAGACAGAGAGCTAGTAGGTCAAAGCTGTGCAAGTGGGCGGTACAAATAAATAACTGGTGATCCTCTCAAACAGAGCGTGTCGGAGGCGCTGCGGCACCCTCGGCCGACAGTTGGCAGCCTGAGGCATTCGCTTGTTATCAGCATGTCGGAGGCCGCCGAGTTCATCCAGGACATACCTCGCGTCTACCAGACGGAGGCTCGGCCGAGCAAAAACACACCTTTCACGGCGCTGGGAATATCCCAATGGCATAGTCTAGACAGTGTCTGCGTCGTAGCATCCATCAAGAAAGACAAGCACCACATTACAAAACGTGGGTTTCTCAATCCGAAGATAGCGACTGGCCTGCGTTGAATGCTCCCGGCGCAAGGTTCGATGTGATAAGAGCCTGCCTTGTCGAAATTGCGTAGTGAAGTAAGTTTCCCCAATTCTAGTACCGAGCAGGGATCTAGCTGAGCATCAACAACACATAGAGGCATTGATTGTTCACATCCGAGGAGCCACGTCGACCAGTGTGCGACTGAGGTGTTGAGTCCAGATCCCAGTGCGTGTCTCAATAATAATCCACAGTATAACTGCAGTGACCTGCTTGAAAAACTCAAGCTAGAATCGACCTTCTGGAATCCACGGCCAAACAGCAACAGGCCGTCTTTGCTCGAGAAATATCAACTGGTCCAAGTCAACTGTCCGCGATAGCAACCTCGCCAAGGACCCCGTTAGATATTGATCGTGACAGTGGACATAGAGCTTCAGGGCCACAACAAGACTCCGAAGTCGAAGATGCGGCCACAATATTGGAATTCTTAGCATGGGGTCGACGCAAGGACACGAGATTCGAGGACATCATCACTGCACCGAGAGAATTATCTCGTCACTCTCTTCGCGACATCGATATGGAAGATGACACGACGCTTTTCGCTTCACAGGTAACTGTTCATTCTTACCTAAAATCACTTCTTCCTAGCCGATGTCAGCTTTATACTCTCGTCCAATACCACTGCGACTGTCTTCTTTGGTATCATGGATGAACACAATGGGCGGTATGATAACCGCCTGCAGGTATAGGCTGCTGCTGGTACTCCTCGTGGGGCTCCAAAATCTGCATACCAAGAACTAGGAACTGCCTGTTCATCGCACGGAATATCCATAACCATGCATTGTGCAGAAGCTCCCAAAGATCTAGAAATTTACCGCAACACATACGGATATAGTCCAATGAAGTTTGTGGGAGATACAGGCATGTGCTCTCAAGTAGAAAGTTCCGTAACTCCTGGAAAGTTACACAGGCTCGTTGTCGCACACATGGTTAACCTCGACTTGGCCAAAGGCATTCCTCTGCTATCTTCCACAAACATATCGGTGGCACACAACCCATCATCGAATCTTAAGCTTGCTTCCGGCATAGCTCCCGTACCACTCATGGCATCCTCCGACAAGCCAGACCAGTCCATCAATGTTTCCTTGGGAACTGACGGTGCGCCATGCTCTAATCATTATGACATGTTTCAAGAAATGCAACTAGTTTCTATTCTCCACAAGGGTGCTACTCATGACGCATCCTTAATCACAGCCGAAACAGCGCTAGAAATGGCCGCGATCAATGGCGCACCAGCATTGGGACTCGAGAACGAAATTGGTAGTATCGAAGTAGGTAAGAAAGCTGACCTCGTCCTCCTTGATCCTTACGGAAGGGGAAATGTGGGTGTTGCGCCATGGGATCCTGATGATCTGAATGGGGTGTCGCCTGTTACTACTGTTGTGCATGGGTGTACTGGACGAGACGTTGATATTACGATCATAGATGGCCGGATAGTCGTAGAGAATGGTGTTTTGGCAGTGAGAGGGCGAGCAAAAGTGGCGGAAATAATTGAGAAAGCTCAATGCGCGGTCAAAGGAATCTTGCAGAGATGCAATGCGGATCGTACGAAGGGAGAACAACGGATTGCCGGCAGCCAAAAGAGTGGCTGGACATATATCTAAATCGTGGGATGCATCCTTCCAACTGTCTCCAACCAGAAGTTTCTTTCGATCAGGGTTTGCATAACTAGCTATTACTCAACATTCGGCTAGATGGCCCCGACCACCGCGATACCTAGGTATGGTTAGGGTCATGACCTAAGTAGGGACCGACATCTTCAACTCGTCGTACTTTCAAATATATTTGAATCTATTTTCATAAATATTTTTACGTGTACCTAGGTAAAGTACCGGGAAACTCTCGAAAACATTCGGAGAGTGGTTTACACAAACTCCGACGCAGTGTCGGACCAATGCAACTAATCAACCGAAATAGCGACTCTCTACGTTTAAAAAGAACAATCATTTGCTACTGCCCCAAGTTACTTTGACCAAGCGTCAGTCGACTTCGTAATCGATTGCGAACTTGGTGCATGCTGCTGTTTCTGGTCAAAAGACAAGCATCCGCTCGTTCACTTCAAAGTATTTCTAGCCTTCTCACCTGCTCACCTGCAAAACAAGGATCATTGTCAAGAATTGGAGATGTCTGACTTCAGCAAGTACGGCATTCCCAGTGAAGAATGGCTGCAACTGGCGTCCACACTTCCGCCGATTCCAAACTTGAGCCCCGAAGAGTTAAAAAGAGCAACTAACCTGAGAAGAGATGCCGGAGCAGAGAAAATAATGAAGCAATTTGAACTCACCGAAAAAGTCTCGTCGCAAGATCATTCAATTCCTGCGCGCGATGGCTATCATTTGGAAGCGCGGACCTATCGACCAAGGGGAGCAGCAGCCTCTGCAGAGAAACTTCCAGTCTACATGAGCCTCCACGGAGGAGGGTTCTTGTATGGTACTCTTAATTCAGAAGACCCTCTTTGTTCATTCGTGGCGCTCCGCCTCAACGTTCTCGTCCTCAATCTCAACTATCGCCACACACCGGAATACCCCTATCCCACAGCCTGGAATGACGCAGAAGATGCCATGATCTGGCTATGTGAAAACGCGGCCAGCATCAATGCGGATATTGAGCGCGTCGTAGTCGGAGGATCATCCGCTGGCTCTGAGCTGAGTGCATCATTGACACGAGTAATCTCGCAGTCAGAGCTGCGATTGTCACCGCAACCAACGATCCTCGGGCAAGTTCTGATGCTTCCGACTGTAGTATTTGCCGACTGCTATGAACCTATGATGCGCCAAATTAAGGACCACAGTGTATCCTCTTATCATCAGTGTGCGGAAGCCAACTTCATGGACTCGAAGACAAGGAATATGTTCAATGATCTTTTGAAAGTCGAGAATCCAGACCCAGACGACAAGAGGCTGAATCCAGGCTACTTGACGACTGAAGAGGCGGAAAAAATGCCCCCAACGACGCTTCTAATAGCTGGCTACGATCCACTACGCGATGAAGGGCTGCTATACGGTAAACTCCTAGCCGACAATGGGTTAGTAGCCTTTTTCCCTCTTTTGGCTTGTTAATTTTGTCTTTGAGACTTCGTTATCTCCGTCATGTGGAGGGAACATGAAATTCTCGCAGAGCAAACAGTGTGAAATTCACACACTATATACACCTTGTTCGAACGCTGACATGTTTTATTATCTGTAACTCTAGGGTTCCCACCAATGTCCATGTTTTTAAGGGTTTACCTCACGGTTTCCGCATGTTAGGAGACAAAGTATCGGTCACTCCCCAATGGGATGAAGCTATGCTTGAGGGGATTATGTGGGCACTAAGTAAACCTACTGCGTCAGAGGAGTTCTGTGTGCAGGAACACTGATGGGCTGGGGGTGGATGTGTGGCCACATGTTGGTTTTTCATAGTGTAGAAGCGGGCATGTCCCTTCACCTGCAGATCCATATTGGTATAACCTTTGCAAAACCTAACTTTGTACTGAACATTTTTCATAGCCACCGATGCACCTATGCGATGTAGTAGTTCATTCAGGGGCAGTAGGGTTGATTGTTAAGGACCCAAGGTTGGCTTGAAGATAAGGGTTACGTTTGACTACCTACCATGCATGGTAATTGCATAGGACCTCACTCATAGAGACCAAAGAAGAAAAAAGAAAAAAGAAAACCAAAAATCTGGTTGTTGAATCTGAATAAGTATGTACAAGAAGAGAAGTCAAGTTTCCACCGGAATGTGCTTCATCGGCCTCGTTGAGGCTAAAATATAATGAATGGTTTCCAAATTTGTCAATATTTCAACGAATTTCCTTATACGAGGAAACAATCACCACATCCATGCTCTTATGCGCACCATATGCACAAATCATTTACTGGCAGGATGACCACCATTCAGTTTCCTCAACACAAGTGTAAGGAGAGGCGCAAACGGTGGAGCCGGTGTAGCCAGAACCTCCGCACTGTAAAACAAACGAGCGTTAGCTGAGACTATCATCAGAATCTATCAGAAGCAAACCCATATACTGACCTGTCCCCACTGCCCAACGGGCGTGCCTGTGGCAGTGGAAGTGGCGGTGGTAGTGGTAGTGGTGGAAGTGGAAGTGGTTGTAGAAGTGCTGGTGGCGGTTGCGGTAGGGGCAGTGGATGTGGTCGTGGTGGTGCCGGTGGTGCTACCGCAAGGAGAGCCAGTCTCCAAGATGCTAGCAGCTTGTTCGGCGAATGTGCAGCCATCAATCACATTGGAGTCAGAGAAGGCAGCATCCCACATCATAATACCACCCCAGTTGGAGCTTGTATCGACTGCAGCAACCTCGGAAGCCAGTTCGGCAGGCGTCATGTAATACTCTTCACCACTAGTAGTGCCGGTAGAAGCAAGAGTTGAGGCGGGCACGCCCATGAAGATCTTAGCGTCTTCAGAGGGGGTGCCAGAAACGTAGGTGACCCAGTCGTCGTAGTTGAGTGTTTCTGGGTAGGAGCAGCTAGGGTTGTTGTAGAACTGAACCCACAGGTAGTCAAACTGAGCAGCAGTAATGATTTCTCCCATATTAGCGTCGGGGATGACACATTGGGGGGCACCGCTTATGTAGTAGGTGTTGTCCGAGTCGGTGTCAAAGTTAGTGCGCAGGGTAGAGATCATATACTGATAATACTCATTACCGCTGTTGGCTTCAAGGTCAAGGTCGAATCCGTTGACATAAACGTCACCGAATGGCCGTGTTACGCTGCTGTTAGCAGAGGTGTCTCCACCATAGGCATCCCAGAGGTACTGGCCGATTTCCTCAGCCTGTTCCTCAGACTCCAGGGAGTAGGCACCGGTTGCACCGCCAAGGGATAGGATAACTGTGACGCCGTTGGACTGGCAAGTGCTAATCTGAGAAGCAAGATCATCACAGCCTGAAGCAGCGCCAGTGGTGCTAATAGTGCAGTCCAAACCAATTGTGCCAGATGGAATATTGCCAGTCTCGCCGTATTCGTTGAGGAAGGCCAGAATAATGATGTCAATTCCGGCATCGCTGCAGTAGGTGGATAAATCGTTGTTTTCGGATGCCGCGAGAGAGTTTTGACCCCAGTAAACAGCAACGTCGCCGCCTGGAGCACGTGCTGAGAGCTTGTGAGGAGCGGCGAGGGCAGCGCTGGCCATCAAGCCGAGGCTGATCAGAGTCGTTGTAGGCTGCATGGTTATTGATCTGCTGTGAAGCAAAGTAAAGGAATATGGTGAATGCTGCAATAAAGTATATACAGTGAATGTTAAGGATAGACAGGAGGGAGTGTAACGATCCGTCGAGGATCTAATCAGTGTCAAACTGAGGGTAAAGGAGAGACTGGCTCGAATACTGAATGAGTGATGATGGCCTGACGAAAAGAAACGAGCTGTGAAGATGGGACACACGTGGGTACTTATACTCATCTTTGGTTCCCGAGCCCTAAAACACTGGGGCCTGCCTTTTTCGGAAACAGGGTTCCATTTCGAGAGCCACGCAACTTCTTTAGTTTTGACGCAGAGAGCTCCCTGTTGATAGCTACCTATTCGTGACAACGGTTACATGGCCACACCCTCAGATAGTAACCAAGCTAACGCCTCGTTCAAGGCTATATTTTGTTCCGTTTCAATACATCAACTGGCCGCACGATGCATGCAGAACAGGTTACAGCTGAGAAGTACGCATTTCTTGGTCCACTCGGGAAGAGACGACGAATTAGCCCCCATACCTTCAAGGATCTGAGATTAAGGTTGAACCTCCAGAGACCTTATTTGGGCCAGTGAGGACAGAGAACTGAGGGATGACTGCGATGAACGGTGTGTTTACGTGGTTTAGTTGGATTGTGGAGTAATCCAACGTAAAGTATATGTAGCTATAGCATGAGCTTGGAAGTCAGTTTTCAAGTCCTGTCTGTACAATAATAAAGTTTAGCTCTGATCATCTCGTCCGTCATCTGCCACCAGGCATGATGCCAAAAGCGTTTCAATCCTCGAAAACAGCCAGACTCGTCGTTTCGTGATAGGGAGATCGACGACGTAAAGTGCCTTAGAAAGGCGTTTCGATATTAGGCACACTCAAGGTAAAACGTGCCACTGGCGAAAACATGCGACCCACTGCCATGCTGCTAGCGAGCATTAGTGATGATTACCGCGTAGCACTAGCCAGTCGCCTGTCGAAGTTCTGCTTTTTTCAAGATGACTAGTAATGGCGCCGTAGCAGTGTGGCGTCGACTAAATATTCATGCGCCGATTCAAAGGAAAAAGATATCGCCATTGATCCTGATCCACACGCATTGCATGCCCCCCATCTGCTAAATTTACAGTTGATAGTATAATGACATGATATTAGATAGTTCCCTAAAACCAGAGGCCATTTGCAGGACAGCAGCAAACTATCAAATATCGCGCCTACGAATCACATAATTTTTCATACTTAGTGATGGAGTACATACACTAAGCACTTGACTAGTGAACTAGTTAGAGCGATTCTATGCTGACCAAACAGAACGCCAGCTGACGCGAAAAAAGCAGCATTAGACCGAGTTAAACATGCTAGTCCAACCACTCTGACGTTTCATCTCGCAGACCCCCTTGTTCCTCTGGCGTGATTGGCAGCGGGCGAAGATTAAACCGAGTTATTTCGATTTTTAGTATTGCATAGTACCACTAACACGATGTCCTATAAGCTAGCTAAAAGACAGATCGTTACTAATTATTATATATTTGCTGCGTCATCGCGTCGGGCTTTTTGCTCCAACTCCTTGCCTCTGCTTCGTAGGTAGTCTTCGTATGTTTTCAGGGCTATCACTCTAGCACTAATTCCATGCTTACTCCATAAAGCCCATGCAGGTACCAACTCAGAATAACTACTTAGACTACTCCGTAGCTGATCGGGTCCGTAAAACTTTGTCAAACAGCCAATGGCCTCGGTAGTATTTGAGCTATATTCATGCTTCGTGTTATAGGGTTTCGACTCCGTCCTCCGAGGCTAGGAACTCGAATGTGCTGGAATGTAAGAAAAACTGTATGCAATACTAAGGCGACGCAATACCGTTATTTGAGTGAAAGAGAAACTAATGACTATGCGCACTCCCAGCTACTCTCAGCATAGACCTCACGTCAACGCCATTCCTAGAAATTCCTCAACTTCATCCATAGATAGGGCCACGCCTGGATTTCATTTGCAGAAAAGACTCGGGGCAATCTCAAGTCCATGAGAGCATACCCCTACAAGTGCTACGACTTTCAAATAGGCAATAGGCGATAACGCTTAAACTAAGGAGCAGTCATCGATTGGCCCCCATGTTGTCAGTGCGTTTGGAAGGGTAGCTGTCCGGTGTCCTCCATTCGCCTTTACCCACCCCGGTTGGACTTTGCTCCTTTATACCGTACTTCTAGTATTCCGTAGGTGGTCTTTTGACAGCGTCAATGTTAACCTACATCTATCGGTTACATCAACCGATATTAGTCCACGTCATCATAGACGATGTAGCTTGCCATTTTGACTCGAAATGCACGTGTGACCGATGTGATCACAAATTTGGATCTCAAATGCTGCCGCTAGCAGTCGGATCAAGTGGTCTATATGCTAATGTGCGTACCAGGTTGGCACCGTAGCAGTACTTATGGTTGTAATAAACATGAAGCATAAAGCGAACTTCCAAAAAGATGCAATTGGAGTGCGGACATACATTCCTGAGCTGCTATACCTGCGTTATGCTCTCACCTAGCTCCTTTCTTTTTATTATTTATTTTTAATCTTTATATATATATATTTTCATTACAAGTGTTGCAGTGTTCGCGAGACTTCCAACTTCGAAGCCCAAGGTCACTAAGTGCTATGAGAATACGAAGCAAATAATATTACTGACAAGTAATCCTGCTAGTGCCGAGATTTTTTCTCCTGTCAGACCATACTCAAGTGCACGTCTTCGAGAACCATTTCGTTGCTCTGGGGCTGTTCTGAGCCGTGGTGCAGTGCACACATATTATTAACCATTGCCTTGCGTTCTTCACGTATCCAGACTTTTCCAGTGAGTTATTCAATAACGATCGTCTTTCGAACGGCTTCCAGGTGCCAGTACATTTACAGCGTTTAAATTCCTGAATTGTCCCCCGACCAGTAACACAACACAGTCTTCCTTTGCAGGTTGTTGCTCTTCTAGTCGGATGTGTGTGATTAAGAGTCAGATCACCGGATCATCTCCAAATCCACACGGGTGTGTCAACATATAGTTTCTAAGTTGGACCCGTCATATAGGGTTCAACGTTTAGAAATTTGCTCGTGTTGGGTGATAATACGCAGATAGATGCATTGTCAGTAACTTCATGCAATACGTACAAAAGGGTTATCCATTGACTATGCATTGGCATCAGTCTGCTCGGCTCATTTCGTGAATCTATATGACGCGAGAAATAAAATGTTCATTGATACATACCTAGGTATTAAGTCGTGAGTTTAGATGAACAAATATCTATCTAGGCTGTACCTAGTTACTAGATTAAGTTCATATCTATTGATAGATATTCTGTAATATCTACAGGTCAATGAGTGATAATAAACAGCGCACGGCTATAGACAACGGTGAATCATTTCCCTAGAGCAACTTGACATCATAGACTTACGCTCAAGGGCTGGGTTTTGATTGAATTGAGTTTCTTGAAAACAATTACTTAGGTAGCTTATGCTTAGAGACTCGTTCGTGGGATATACGTAGATATATTTCTAGAGTTTGTTTCCATCCTTGAGGAATGGCTCTTCACAACTAAGTGCTGACCAACAACGGCCATAACTGACAAGCCCGAAGGCGGTCTCGCCCTGGAATAAAAGTACCGAAGCACGATGGAAAGTTTTTGCTGATCTAGTTCAATAAACATAGCGGAAACTGCAATTCTCCTTATCCGTCAGACCAGACCAGGCTTCGGAATTGAAAGTCTCGCTTGACGAGTCAATCGCTTCAGGCTCGGCAGCAGCGCGAGCATCGCGACGCTTATTCTCCCAGACGTAGTAAGCATACAACACCACAGCCAAAACGGCAGCTCCAGCTTGGGTAGCCAGAACTGCAATCTTGGCAGGACGATACTGCGGTGCGTCGCGGGCTTGGAACGTCTGAGGTCCGATGATGTTTCCAATGGAAAAGGAGCCAGCCACGAGAGCACTGCAGAAAGAACGCTTGGTGTATCCGGCACAGTTGGCAGCGGTCCAGTGGTAAATGACAGGCAGCGGTGCGACGATGGCATTGACCAAGTACACGCCTATGAGCAGACCTGCTTTATTGCTGTTAGGGAGGAACGACATCAGACCACCACCGATGATTCCTGGGATGCTGCACATGAAAACCCAAGCCCAGCGGTGATCTAGTTTGCGAATACCAACACCAACAAGTATGGTAAAGAAAATGCTGACAACGCCGCCTGGCATGTTCAACAGAGCTGATTGTTCACCGGTGAAACCCATGTTCCGGATTAGAGTAGAGGAGTACGTAGTGACGACACCAGATGAGACCGATTGCTATAACAGAAATGTCAGCTTGTATACTCGCTGTAGAGCCGGAATTTAGTACTTACCAGAACAACCATCAGCGTGAGTAACCACACTTGTACGTCCAAGACAGACTCGAAAATGTGCTTCATCTCAAACTTTTCATTCCAAATACCGGTCTTGTTTACACTGATGTGCCTCAAGAGCGCAACCTTTTCAACCTCACTCAAGAAGCGAGCCTTCATCGGAGTATCAGGAATGAAGAAGTAGACAACAACTCCCACCAATGCAGTGAAGATCCCGAGAACAATGAACATAATGCGCCATCCGCTCAAGGGTGCGTTGGCATCGACGTGCTGGAAGCCAAACGAGATCAATCCGCCAGTGATTTGGGCGACGCCAAGGCCAAGATACCAGAAACTAAATCGCGGGGCTTGCTCTGACTTGGTGTAGTACTGGCTGCAAATGATCATAAGGGAAGGACCAATGGTGGCTTCAAATATTCCGAGGAATACTCGCGCGACAACCAGAGTGGCATAGTTTTTGACACCAGCTGTGCCTGCGACAACGACGCCCCAGAGGAAAACGTTGAAACCTAGCCATTTTCCAGCCGGGACTTTCTGCAGGAGAAGTGCTAGTTCGTCTCATGTCAGTTGATCGATGAGTTGTCAACGGATATTGCTCTGAACATACTGTTTGGTGCTTCGAACACCAGATACGCGATGAAGAACGAGGTGCTGGCATTTGTGAAATCGTTGCCGACAAGCTTTAATTCCTTTGTCATTCCCATAACAGCAGCATACTTCATCGATGAGCCCCGAGGTCAGTTACTTGATCAACCACAGCGGGCCAGGCGCAAGGGACTGGAAACAGAATGTACTCACGTTGATGATGACTTTGTCGATGAACTGTAGCCAGTAGCACATAAACATCAATGGCACAATGTTCCAGTCGACCTTGGTACGCAGTTTCTTGAGGTCTACCGCGTCGACTGCGGCAGAGTCTACGTTGTGGCCTTCGAGATATTGCAAGGCTTCATCTTGCTTCTCCATTGCCAGCTGTTCAGCCGCTACACCAGGTTCCTTCAAGCCTGTGTCTGCCATGCTCATGTTTTATGCAGGGCAGATGTACAGCAAAAGCTCCACGTGATAATGCCACACGAACGGCAGGATGCTAACACGAGGGTGCAGAAAAAAAGAAAAGGAAAAGAAAAGAAAAGAAAAAGCGTGGAAGTACAGAAACAAGAAAAAGAAATGCCGATCAGCCGGGAATATTTCTCCGTCTATCTTCTCGACTTTGAAAACCTTGTAAAGAAAAATCCTAGGAAAAGAACTTATAGGCATGACGTGCATTATATTACGGAGTAAAGGTCCTGCGACTTCTACCGTCCATGCATGATGCATAAGACGCTAACAAACTAGGTAGAGCGTGGCAAAAGCCATGCTGGACTAAGAATTGATGAAATTAATCTGGATCAAATTAATTACGAATCCTTGATGTCTTTCTTCACCGTAGCTAGGGGGGTGCTTGTCTCCCATGAGACAAGCCAATCTACGGAATGCGGCCACTGCAAATCGCATTGGGGATATGCTCGCTGAGTTATCAGCGTGTTTTAGAGTTTGAGATGCAGCTGAGTGGAACTTCTTGCATGCAAGGCGGCTTAGTGTTACAGTGGCTGGCCTCGCTTCTGGTCGTGGTAACTATAACTAGTTACTATCTAGGCAACATCATCTATCTCTCTTGCTATATAGCCGGCGGCGTATTTCGCTAAGGAGACAAGCACTCCACACGAATATCTTTTCTTGATATGAGCAAGTAAAGTCAGGGATGAAGCCAGAAAGGTATAAAAGAAATACAAAGTTTCCGGATAGGAACAAGACCTTTATTTTTACTCTGCCCCCGCCAGCATCATTGTTTTCTCTGCGTTCACGGAAATGCATGCACAGACTTGCGAAGAAAGCGTACTAACAAGCCCCATAAGCAGACCGTGGTACAAAAATCCTGCAATGGACCCGCCAACTAAATGATATACTTCGTACAGACCGCGGAGTACGGGTCAGGGTCTAAACATTCGCTAACGGGGAGGCAGCGCCATCCAGCGACGCCAAATCCTGCTCAATACTAGTGCTTCGTATCATGACGGTCACCTAATACTCAGCAGTAATGGGCTTGTCCCTACCAGGAAAATCGCCGAGACCCTAGAACAGACTACAAATCCATTTGTTCAAGGGTCCCGGAAGAGCCGCCAGCCACCAGAATCACGCCAAAGGATCGGTCCACGTCTGAAGAAAAAACCTACGAAATAACTCGGGCTCATTAATCGCATCAGCTTAGATTAAGTCCATACTAGGGATACAATTAATTGCCTGGATATGCAGTACAGAAGAGAATCGTTCCATGTGATCAGGCCTAATAAGTAATTGATAAGCACCATGTGTTTCACCGCATAACCAAGTAATTTTTATATAATTTTTTTCTTTTACTGACTGGATTAGGTATCTCCTGGGGGGGGGAAAACAGGGGTGGAGCAAAGACGAGATGGAAAAGGGCTAAGGGTCAGACAAAAAAAGCAAATATGCCAGCCAATGTTTCCACATACCAGCGCAGGATTCGCCAATAACAAGACCCGGAACAGCCCGTCTGGGAAATGATGCGTGTTTAGTTACAGCCTACAGGTGGGCCTCTTTGGCTCGTGGGATGCACGATTTGCACGGCGTAGAGGCAAGGGGGCTATTTTTCTCTCGCCCTGTGACTGGTCAGAACGTTGAACTGGTTACCTTCGTAGTCACTCAGCGCTTGCCACCCTTGTCTTGAAACGGAGGATTGTGGCACTTAGTAGTTATACGCTCAGCAGGGAGTTCAAGGCAGATTAGGTAAATTTAGGGCAGGAGTTGTTCGTCATGGTCAATATCATGATACAGCTTTCTTCTTCTCTAGATCCCAGCAGTACCTTTATTCGATCCCTGTGATTCATCTGACTGGTCTTTCATCATGGGCTGGGTATACCATGCCTCTCCGGAGCTACAGGCCGCGTCCGAGTACCCAAAAATCATTTCAGTGTCCATTGCATTGACCCTGCTAATGACATTGACCGTGTCAACTCGTATTGCAGTCCGTTGGGCACACCATCGGACAGGTCCTGATGACTATATAATGGCCGTGGCGATGGTATGTTGACATCAGAAAGGTGATCGGTGAAATACTAATCTTATTTCAGTTGTTCAGTATAATCTACAACATCCTTTGCATTGTTCGTATGTGCGCAGATCTCTTCCTTGAGTATCACCACTCTATCAATAACTAACTATCCGCATAGAAACGAGGTACGGGCTTGGTCTACCTTTGGCTGTGAGGCCAAAGGCCTCTCTGAGTACATACACCAAGGTAAATATGAAATGCTAGGACAACGAAAAAGAGAAATTCACATCTAGATAGGTCAATTTTGCCGGTCGACCATTCTACCAATTTGGCATCGGACTTTTCAAGCTGGCTCTATGTGTCAGTTACCTACGGCTCTTATCTGGCACATCGAAACGGGTTTATAAGATTATCATCATAACTGTTGCCACAATTTCGACATTGGGACACCTTGCATGGACATTGGTTCTTATCCTTAATTGCAACCCGGTAGGTTCAGCTGCATTGCGCTCCGTGGCACTCGCCTACTTCTTCCATGTCCCTGTCTCCTCTTACGAAATACATCGTTCCTAGGTCAGCAAATCATGGATTCCATCTGAATCTGGCACCTGTCTACCATTTGGCCCCACCAACTATGGTATGTCTGGGTTCTCAATCGGCTGCGACGTCGTCACAATCCTCTTACCCATCCCTGTTCTACTGGAGTTGAAAGTGCGACCAGCACAGCGCGCCGGTATTATCGCCCTCTTCTCTCTGGGCTTTTTCACGACCTTTTGCTCCATAATGCGAATGGAGCAGATCAAGGTGATTGCGTACGGGAACGGAAACTCAACCATGCTGGTGCTCTGGGGTACAATTGAGTTCAACGTTGGCGTAAGCTCCTGTGCTCTTTTCTTCTACAATCGCCGTCAGTGTCAGCTAATATACTTTCTGGATTGATTCAGAACTTTATCACATCGATCCCGTACTTGGCTCCGCTCTTCAGACGCTGGGTATCCGACTTTGGCTACCGTATGGGCTACGGCAGCCGATCACACACAGCGCGAACCACAGACCAATACGCATTGCAAAGCTATGGAAAGAACAGCGTCAAGTCTAGAGCCACTGGCGATCATCTATCGTCAGTGGTAACAAAGCGAGGCGTCGTTCGCACCCCAAGCGAGGAACTCATCTTAGGCGTAGGCGAGCCTGGACCGAACGAAATTATGCGGACCACAGAATACCGGGTCGTGGTCGACGAGGACAAAAATATTAGGAGTTACAACAACTAAAAGATCCTAAAAGTTTTCCTATGTACTTTTATTCTGAACAAAAAAGAGATCAATTAATTATGCCACTTTTGCTGCTGGGAGTGGTAATAAGGACAGTTCCGGTGTAAGGCGACGATTTACGGGGGTTTCTCAACTTAGGGCTACGATTATCGGGCTAAATTCTAGCCAGAGACGTTTTTGGGGGGTGTTATCTCCTGAGTTAGGATTATTACAGGGTTGTTGTATGATTTTCTAGATCGGAATCTAGAGAAGATACAGAAAATCACTCCGTATGCTGTCCACGGATCCTCACTCGCCCATGGTCACTCTATACTGCGGACAAACTATCAAACTATGACCTAGGATCTCAGTCGCAACTCGCAATCATGGATTCATTCGATCAGATTTGGCGGTTGGGACGAGCTCCAGCGGGAAATAGATGTCGCAAGACTTCCAGTACGCCGTTTGGCATGGTCTATGCGAATGATTTAATATGAATTTGCAGTTGTGGGCCAGAAACATTATGAGAAAACAAAGAAAAAAGCAATGTGAAACTATAATTCGAGCCCATTCCCATTTTCTACGAAGCCCGGAGACCAGCTTCCGGCGATTGGTGGGCCATTCATAGTAATTTAGCCCTAAGCCGGGGGGCAAATCCTCCATCCAGAATACAGCGTACTAACTAATAAGCACTAGCAGACCCCTGTAGACTGTAACCCCTGTACGTAAAAGCTAGTATATGCACTAGTACATTAGTGTATATTGATCTTATGAGGGTTGAAATTCGAAATTTTCGTCATCTGTAGCTATCGGGCGTAACTCTACTCCGTAACCCAGGGCTCGGAGAGATCCAGACCCTCATTTACTTCTACGCGACACCAGGGGACTGTTCTCGGTTACCAATGAAAACTCATGAGCATCGAGGCAGGCCCGTCGAGCATTGACCACACACGGCTGGCCTCGGTTGAATACGTCCTGGTCGTACGCTTCCAAGGCCGGTTTAATCTTCTCCCGTGCTATGCCCTGGTGAGTAGAGGTTGATTCTAGTAGGGGACCAACTCGTTTAGCGAAGTCATAAGCATCGGTCACGGCATTGTTACCGCCCTCACCACGGACTGTAAACGTGATTAGTTTCAGGTAAACGAATTTTATGGTGGGGAGAGGGGATTAATACTCACACATGGTCATGGTGTGGGCTGCATCGCCCATGAGGACCACGCGTTCATCCTCCCGTTTCGTAGTCGGAAACCAATCGGCGAGCTGGATCGCCGTTGCTTCTGCGTCTTCTGGGATGACCTCAACAAGGCTGCGTAGATGCTCAGCCCAGTCAGACGTAATGTTTTTGATCAGAGTAATACGGTCCGCATTGCCCTCAGGAATGCTAATCCCCTTGCTCTTGGCCCACGAGACGATGACCTGGCAGATATAGTTGCCGCTGTCATTTCCCCCGTTGTATGGGGAGTTCAAGACTGTAATCTGTTAGTGTTGGAGCCCAGGTCATAGGGGATTACCGGGTCAAAGCTTCCTGCTTACAGCTAAAGAACAAGTAAATATTCGAATCTGAATGCGTTCCCTGGAAAAAATACGGATCAATGGCTAAAGCGGCGGCCACTTGCTCAGGGGTATAGGAGACGGTCACGCCCAGAAGCTCGACAGGTACCGGTATATTCTCGAATGCAGATGGATGCAGATATTGTCGAATGCGAGAGTTGGTGCCATCGCTGGCTACCAGCAGCCAGCCCTGGGCGACTGTACCGTCTTCAAATGAGATGGTAACGCCGTCTGAGCTAGTGGACAGTCCCACGTATCTCTTGGACCACTACGAAGTGTCTCACATGTTTAGTATGAATCTGAAGCAATGAAACAAGCGAGGCACGGGAAGCTTTTTAGTATACCTCAACATCAATCCCAGTAGCTAGTAGATTTCGAAGCTTGGACCGGATTACACGCAAGCGGCCTGTTTTGGGAAACGTGGCAGCATGCAAGGATTCTCCGGTCTTGAGATCCAGAAATCGGTATTTGCCCGCATCCTGAGCGCTAGGGTTCACGTTGCACTCTCCGAGACGCGCATATAGCTCCTCAGGCAAAAGCTTCTCGAGGGCTGGCAGGCCCCAGTGGAAGGTGAGACCCCAGCCACCAGTGCGAGAAGCGATAGAGGCATCTCGATCGAAGATCCGGAAAGGAATGCCGGACTTGCGCAGGTACTGGGCCAGGGAAAGGCCGCTGATGCCAGCGCCAACGATGAGAATAGGGAGAGGGGTTTCGGCCGCCATGGTATTCCGGCTTGAGCACAGGCAACGATGCAAATGATTTGAAAAGTGCACTTACCCCGTTCAAATAGCAGCGCCAGTGTCGGAGAATGTCTTCAGACACTTTGACTTAGGGTTCCGGATTGTAATTTTGGCCTAGAAAGGAAGCGATACTAATGCGTATTTGTAAAGTTGCATCCGTAACCATGTGAGAAAAAACCTCACGGGCCCGCTGATGCAAACCGGATACGTGGATGTATTTCAAAATCTGTAGCTAAATCAACGGGCCAGTTTAGTGCGGCGCAGCTCTCCATAGCCAGGATTAGTGCGGAATAATATTAATGTTTATTAGATAAGAGACAAAAGTACAAAACAAAACAAAGGTTGAATCTATATAGTTGCTCCACCTTCCTTCTGCCGTGTCAAGGTTAGCTGACCCAGAGCTATAACTATCGTGTTTTGAGATTCTAGACGTGTCTCTTTCTGCATGGGAGTGTTGCGTTACATTCGCTCGGCGTGGGTGGTCCACTGTGCAGATATGCATGACATGAAGCCAAAAAAAAAAAAAAGAAAAGAAAAGAAAAGAAAAAAAGAGGAGCATAGGAGTTGCTGTAGACAAGAGACAAAAGTACAAAACAAAACAAAGGTCGAATCTATATAGACGGACGTCAGGGAGTGAGTGGTATGTGCGTAGTATGGCAGGTAAATCAGGGACAGACCTAGATTCCTCCTACGCAACCTTTTCACCACCATCAAGATGTTTGCTATGTCTTAATCACAACCATACTACCATTTCAGACTGCGAAATGTTCTCAGTCCATTACCTAGTACCTACCTAGATAACAAAGGGCAAGATGGTGCCTGTCCGAATCTAGTTCGTGCGGCCGCCACTATAAGGTGCGGCATGAGAGCGCAGCGCATAAACCCACTCGTGTGCTGTCATTGGATTAACGTATTTCCCGAGTAAACCGGACACTGAGGACCCATATTATTTTTTCAACCCTTATAAATTGTATATAGAAGTAGAAAAATATAGATTTAACTAGCTAGAAGGATTAGGGCACCTATTACGTTTATGCCCTAGTTACTAGCAATTACTATATCTAGAAGGTATATACTGAGGTGCCTATAAAGTATTATTTTAATTAACTAACAGAGAGGGGTTATCAACTTTATTAAGTAATTATATTAGCTCTCTATCTTTAGAAACTATTAAAATACCCTTATTTAGAAGGGCTCTTATACATTTACTATAATATCTCTATAATTAATTAATTAAATCATATAAATTATAATTTTTTTTAGCTAGAATAATAGTATTATATATTATTATTAAGAAGCCCTTCCTTAATTAATTAAGTGCCTAAGTTAATAGTAAAGAAAAGTTTAAATTAAATATATTAAGAAGCTTTTTAATAAAGGTAGCTTATTATTCTAATATATATATATTATAAGGTATTTTAGAGCTTTAAATAATATTTCTTAATAAAAGAGATAATATTCTCTTTTTAATACTAATTTATAATTAAGATAATACTTTTTTAAAATTATAAGATATAATTTTAGTATATAGAAAGCTTTTTATAATATTTTTTATAGTATAGATTTCTTAATATATAAAAGAAAGAATTTTTAGAAAGGCTTTTTTATTTATATAGTAAATCCTATTCTAAATCTAACTCTTAATAGTACTTTCATATAAGTGTTTTAATATTAAGAAAACATTCACATCTAAAGGCTAAAAAAAATATATAGAATATAATAATAGATAGTATAAAATAATATTATATTTATTACATACTTAATTAAATTTTAATATTAAATAGTTACTATAGCTATCTAGGATTAAAAGATAATATATACTAAAAATAGAAGGCTTAGTAAATAGCTTAAATATCTTTTCTAATTACTATAATCTAATTTTATTTAACATCTAGCCTTTTTAAGAATATATAATTAATTAATTAGATAACAGCTAACAGCTAAAACATAGTATATTATTTAGCTTAATAATAAATTAATTTAAGGATAATTAATAAGAATATTATATTATCTTTATTTTTAATATATTTAATAATAATAACCCATTCACAATTTCTAGATTAAATAAGACTAGGTTTTCCTAAATAATTAAAACTATATATAATTTTTATTATAGTTATTATCCTTATAATAAAACCCATTTCATTGAAATTATAAATATTATTATTAATAATACTATATTTAACTTTCAACTATTTTAATTACTTAAAGAAAGAATAAATAATAATTAGATTCTTATACTAGGCTTTATTATAAACTAATTAATATATAAATCTTATTTTAAGATTTAATTATTACTTTAAAAAAAATCTTATCTAGTTTTTATCTACTTTATTAGGAATCTAGATAGAATTTCTTATAGTAAGTAAAAGATTTACTATATTATAAAGTATATTAGGCCTAAAGGGATATCCCCAATATTTTAGAGAGAATATTTAATCTTAGAATAAAACCTCCTTGGTAGAGATTAATTTTCTATATTTTATACTAGCTTTTTAGTATTTAATTAAGCTTTATTATTATTCTAATAATATTAATTTACTAATATTAAAAAGACATATAGCTTCGCGTAAATTATTAATTTATTTATTTTTTAATATATTAATAATAAGAAGAAGTCTTCTCTTATAGCTAGGATCTATTTTTATATATTTTTTAGATATTTTTAATATTGTAAAGTTCATGTAAAAATAATGATTAAAAATCAAGTGGAATTTTTAGTAGGGTGTCCGGTTTACTCGGGTGTCCGGTTTACTCGGGAAATACGTTAGTGTTGTGTCATGACACAGCAGAGCTCTGTCAGCGTGACTGTTACGAAACCAACTTGCATGATACTAGGCAGAAACTAGTACTATCAGGGGAAGGTGCTTAGTTAAAGCAGCTAACATCATAACTAGTTATTTACATGTACTAGCACGCAAGGCGGTCACTAAATATATAGATTTATGGCTGATATAAGGAAATATATAATAAGTATATACTTATTAAGGAGACGTGTAGTATATATTAGTATATATTATAGCTATATATTAGAGTATATACTAGTATATACTTAAGATATATACCAAAATATATATTAAAAGAATTATATAAATATACTTATTCTTATATTTAGTTTCTACTTAGTATAGTTCTTTAATCTAAGTTACTTAATTATATACTAAAAGAATTAATAAGATAGATCTATTTAAAATATTATAATACTTTAAGATACTTCTTCTATCTTAGTTATAATTAATTAATCTTTATTATTAATAAGTCTAAACTATATCTAATTTTATTAATAAGTTACTCTTATAAACCTTTATATAATTTAATTATTATATTATATTTTAATATAACTAATAATAATTAAAATAAATTTAAATATATAATAAAAGAGTTATTATTTTAATCTTAAGAAATAATGTAAGATAAGTATTATTATAAGAGATAAGGAAGTTTAGATAAAAAAAAATATTTATAAATTAATTTAAGATAATAAGAAATATAATTACTTTAAATATTAAATTAATAGTAATTTTTATTAATAAAGAAATACTTTAAAAATATATTAAAGAATTAAAAACAATTATAATAGTAAAATAATCTAAAATATTAAACTATAAATCTTTAGTAGAAAATAAATAGAATTAAAGAATTTCCTTATATAAATAGATATATATATTATAATTAATAGTATAGCATTAGAAATAAAAAAATCTAAAATAGTTTTTATAATAATTTATTTAACAGAAGAAGCTTTTTAATAGATTAAATTAGTACTTTATAAATATTATAATAAGGGAAAGAAGAATTAGAGTACTAATATTATAAAAATACTAGACTCTTATAAATAACATAAGAAAAAATTCAAACTAATATTTAAAAATATGGATAAAATATAAAATATTAAAAAATAATTATATTAATTATATTAGACTAGATTAGTATAATAATTAGTAATATAATTTAAATAAATTATAATAGTATTAAATTATAATAATAAAGTTTTTATTATAGTATTTAAAAATATATTAAAAGAAGAAGTATAAATAAAATTTATTAAGATAGATTAATTAGATAATATTAATAAGTTTATTAAATAAGCTATTAAGATTAATAATAAATTCTATAAAATAAGATAAAAGAGAAAAGAAATATAAAAATAATAAAGATATAAAATAAAATTTATCTCTAAATATTAAAATTAGATAAATAAAGAATCTAAATACTAAGATTCTTATAGATTATAATTAATAGAACTTAATATAATAATTAATAAGAAGTTAAAAAGATAATTTAATAAAAGTAAGATAGAATATTTTAACTATATAAAAAAAACACTATAAATAGGAATATAGAAATTAATTAAAATAATAATTTAAAGTAATTAAAGAATAGCAATTTAAAATAACTAAGAAAAGATAACTTAAAATTATAAAATATAATAAGAGATATAATAGTGAAATTATAATTAATAAAGAATATAATATCTATAAATATAGTAATATATGTAGCAGTTTCTTAGAAATAAAAAAAATTAGGTAGCTGTATAAAGAAATAATATATTCTAAATATATATATAATCTAAAAAGAAACTAAAATATTTAAAAAGATAATAATAAGATCTAAGATATTTAATAAAATAAAGTACTAAAGTTATATAAAGAAATTAATACTAAAGATAAATAAAAAAAATAGTATCCTAGAATATATAAATAATTATCAATATTAATATAGCAAAGTGAATTATTCTAGATATTAAGGATTATTATAAATAGCTTATTATAATAATAATTATTTAATATATTAAGATGCTAAGATTAATACTGTATAGTTTTTTAAGGAAAAAGAGAAAATTATGTCTTTAGAAAGCTGCTATTAAATAAGAAAAAAAAGTGAATAAAAAGAATTATTAATTATAGAAAGATTAAAAAATAAGATAAAAAAAATATACTTTAGTCTCTAATAATTAATAAAAATTAAAGATTAAAAAGACT